GATCGACCGTCTAGATTGCCCGTTACGTCGACCATCTCCCGACTTTGTGCTGGGGGCCGATCCTCGATTTACCTTATCGGGGCCATTGCATGCTTGTATCAGCCGCTCAGTGTACTCGGAGAGCCTTGTTCCGATGAGTTGTCAACCCTCGAAGCAATTGCCCCAGTACCAGCACTTTCAAAACCCAAAATATCGGAGCCCATATGGATGACAAGCCAGGAGCGAAAAAGCGCTCGTCACCAACGCTTACTGTCGAGGATCGACCATAGGAAGCGCGTCGAGACATACTCCTCGCGTCGTCAGTCGTCTTCTTGTGGAAGAGAACTCACGAATTCCTGAGCGCCAGTGACATGTTGCCGCACACCCTTTATATGTAGACGCGGCGATTGAGCGTTGGGGCTTCCGTAATCCGGCCTGGGGCGAAACCAGGTGTACACAGGAGTCCGTGATCCCGAAGCTGCTCGTCCCCTCCACGGCGCATCACCGAGTCTCCACAGATGGCTTAATCAAGTTGTTCTTAGTTGGCGGGTAGTCAGCGGCGAAAAGGCTGCCAATGCGCGGGAAGTACCAGCCTGTGAGAGAGCTCTGACAGCTCGGTTACGGGTTCAGAGTCTAACAGGCGACGCTGAGAAGCTGCACGACTTCACTGCTCCCGAAATCCATTCTTCCCACCGTCTCCCACCATGATCCAGGACCCTTTCTTCGATAATAACCCTCGTCGCTAGTCGGTGAATGGAGACACACCGGGCGGAGGCGGCGGTCCTTGCATCATCTTGACTGTCGGTATCCACGGCTTCGCACATAGTAACTCTGTGACCTTGGCCTCTTTTTCCCTTCGCATCACCACCTCCCCAAACCATGGCCAGCCTATAGACTATTTTGCCGGGGCGTTTTCCCGCCGTTTATCCAAGCTCTCCGTACACTGGCGCTTGTCGCCTCTTTTCTCCATCAGATCATTTTCACAGGTGTTAGGCGGGGTTCCTGTCTCTCGTGAGTCCTTTTGCGTTGCTCGGGTCATCGACTTTCACCACACACTCCCGTCTGGGGGACTACCGGCTGGTCTGGGCTGCCACTCTTTCGACACCGGAACCACAATTTTCCCGGTCTGAGATCGGGGAACGCGATCCCAATCTTCTCATTCCGAGCTCGATCCGAATTGGAGCCTCACCGTTCTGTTGCCGTCACCAGGGTCTTGCAGCTCGCTATCCCTCTCGCCTGTCCTGACCCCACTACATGCCACTGGAGAGTTGTGTGGTATCGAGGCAGATCACCCAAGACCCTGAAGAATCACACCCTGATCGTTGTCATCACATCCTCGGTCATCGAATTTAGTCAACAAGCCTCGAAGGGGGGTATCCTTTTTTCTGGACAACCCGAATCCGACTCAGGCCAGAGCTACGCAGACATTATCGCCGGCGCGCAATAACGACGTCTGTCGACGGGCGACCAAGCGACGCGGGGCCATCCTTTCATAGCTCTATGACCATCAAGGACGCACAACTACTATTTTTGTCGAGCGACGAGTTATCAGTCCACGACCGGTTGAGATCTGCGTGGCTACTACGGAGTTTACACATGCCAAAGAGGTCGGCGTATTCCGCGGTTCATCGTACAGTTTGGGAAGCCTATCGGCCGGGGTGAGTGGCTCATCCGTCGAGCATTGCTCCGTTGGGGGTTGCAACAGTCCTGGTTCGATGACATACTGCGTCCGCGTGAATGAGCGATCTCGCACCCCATCTCGAGCGCCTTGGCCTTGAGCAGTATCTCGACCTTTTCATCAGTGAGGGGTTCGACACTTGGGAAACGCTGACCGATATTCAAGAGAGTGACTTGTAAGCATTCTTCCCCCCTGGGCCCGCCGATAACACACTGACCTTGTGCTAGCGATGCCCTCAATGTCAAACTTGGCCATCGCAGGGTGAGTCGCCCTGGCTTCAATTGATAGAGATCGCACAGACTGACATTTTCTTCCAGAAAATACAGCGGGCAATCGCTGAATACCGGGGAATCTCTTTCGAGCGTCTCCTCGGCTCTGCTGCCCAGGAGGGACAGCCAGAGAGCGGCAGAGCCTCCGAAGCTGTCATCGCCGGCTCGTCAGAGGCTGAGCGGCAATCTGGCCCTCCCCCCGAGGCCAAGAGAAAGTACAGGCGTCATCCCAAGCCCGATGAGAATGCCCCCGAGCGCCCTCCTTCTGCCTACGTGATATTTTCCAATAGAATACGGGAAGAAGTGAAAGACCAGAACCTGTCATTTACACAAATAGCCAAACTTGTGGGAGACCGATGGCAAAAGTTGGATCCAGCTGGCAAAGAGCCATTTGAGGCTCAAGCAAGCGCCGCCAAGGAGAGGTACAACATTCAGCTGTCGGTGTACCGCAAAACGGACGAATACAAGGAGTATATGGCGTACCTCGCCGATTTCAAGGCCAAACACGGGCAGACGGCAGAGGCAAAGCGGCCTAAGCTTGAGCCTGAGTCTAGTGGCAGCATAATTTCCACGAAGTCCTTTGAAGCAGGCCACGAGGGAACGGCGCCGCCATCTGGTCATTTCAGAGGCAGCTCGATGGGCTCTTCCGCATCCTCTCCATTCATCGGCGGCGCGACGCAGCTGACGGGCTCAGGGGGGCCTGCACCACCGCGACCTCGCTTGCCCTCTTCTCGCAGCGGAAGTCCCCCACCGTCGTTGCAGAGTCGAGAGTACTTCCGTCCAGGGCTCATCTCCGGCCACAGTTCCGTCTCTGACGAGTCGGCCACGGTCAAGAGTGAGGTGCCTGATACAGTCAGCCGCACTGCAGGTCTGTCACTGGGTGCGCCTTCAGCAACGCCTCCTCTGCCGACTTTCCCTCCAAGCACCTCCGCTGGGGAGTCTGCACCGGGCCACGATCCACTCGCAAGGTCGAGGTTATCTTATTTCGTCCAACAGCAACAACCTGTGTCTTCCCCCGTGTCGAACGTCGGCATCAGCCCGCCCGGGCACGGCGCGCTCTCGTACCAGCAGAACTTTCCCTCTCCCACCACGCAAGAATCGCCATGGAGAAATCGTCCGCCCGAATTACGGGGTTACCAAGACACGCCAAGAGCCCTACCCATGTCCTACCCTCATTCGACCCCAGGCAGGGAGCAGTTGGGTCCAACCCAGCTGCCCCCACTGGTGCCACAAGATCGAATGTCGGATTATTACCCAGCAGCAAGTCCGCGGCTTCTCCCACCTCCTCGAGCACCATCTTCCGGCACCTCCAGCCTCCCCCATCTTGCCCGTGCCATGGAACCACCTCGGCCTATGACCGAGCCACTACAGATACGGCAACAAGCTCGCGATGACGGCAGGCCCGGTCTCAACCGGTCAGAGAGCGACGCGGCTACTACACTCGCCGGCCTTGCGTCAGGAGTGACTCGGCCTGACCCTACGAAGCCTCATAGTCCAACACCCCCACGGCATCCCCGACCCTCGCCCTGAACGGAACAGCTCCCGTTGTGATGGGTTTTGAGAGTACAAATCGTACCAGCTTGCATAGGTTGTTGCATAGTCTCGTGGCAGGCATCCCCCGAGAAGCATGTTGAAGCGTTTCAATCGTTTATGAGTAATCTCAATTTACATTTTCGAAGCCTAACCCATGCGTGGTGCAGCGACTGCATAGTCGTCCGAGTAACCATAAGGTTCCCGTCTTGCCAGATGAGGCTCGTAGCCGTCACGAAATGTCGCGACCGGGTTCGTCGTGTGGATCTGACGTGTTCGGCCGTCGCCGACGCCTCCCGCAGACATGCCAGCCTCCTCATAGGTGGCTTGAATGTACGCAATTTCAATCAGCATGCGCGCCGCCGTCGTAAGAGCCTGAACAAGAGCCTCGCCACGCCCAGAAGTACCATGCACAGAAGCTGAGAGGAGAGCATCTGAAACCCATGATCTGCAAGCCCTGGCTCGAAAGTTTGATCTGACGGAGGAGGGATACTTAGCGACCGAGCTTAATCTGTCGGATCTGCACTAAAATCACCAAATGGTTGCATGAACAGGAGGCAGGGCTGTCATGATTGGGGAATGACAGGTTGCGCGATTGAGCCTCATCTGCATGCAGCTACTGCTGCTTCATCTCGAGATCAGCCAATCGAGGACCGATGCGGACGATGGAGTCTAGCCAGGCACGGCCAGGACTCCTGTGTGATGCTGAGCTTCCATGAGTGCGAAACACCTGGAACGGCGAGCATGATGGCCATTTGTTGGAGTGAGATTCCGTTCACGAGAGGCCGTCGATCGTGCGTTGCTAGCGTGGCCGCGCCTCTCACCAATCACTGACTTTCCGCTCACTTTCGTCTCCCAACCTCATCTTAACCTGCCAGCAACCAACTTGCTTCACCACCGTCGTCACTTCACCAGCAACAGGTTTAGGCTTCTTCTCAAACAGCCGTTCCACGTCGCCTCCACCTCCACATCTCATGTCATGGATCAACCCAATTTCTCGGGAGGCGCCAAGCTAAGACAGCGTCGACTCCTTGATGAGCTTGCCGTGATGACTTGCAGCCCAATCGAGGGGCGTCCCAACCCTCCCGTGGCAGATTGAAGCCTTGAAAGCGTCGCCCGAATGCTTGATGTGCTCTCCAGCCTTCTCGAATCACGACGACGTTCACCATGTACCGAAGAGGGCCGTCTCCAGGTGTCGTTGCGACCTTCTCGAATTGTCGTCTTCTCCGTGGCGCACGTCCGTTTCTGGATTCCTTGCAATGTCCATATTCCTCGCCGACTGGATCGAGAGTGTCATTGTTATGTCCCATCGCAGTTTCGGGAGAGTCTACCAGCAAGGTTTCGGCCTGCACACATTGAGATGGAGACTTGACCACTCCACCACGTTTTTGATATATAAGAATCGATGGCAGGACTGTCGATGGAAGTATCTTTCTTGCCAGCCATTCTCTCGTTCTCAACAGCAAGCTATACATTCGTTGACCATTTCTCTTCGACGCCGTTCGTTCATTCCTTCCAGCTCATTCACTCATTGATCCTTCAAGATGCATTCTTTCACGATCTTGCTGGCAGCTTCCGCTTTGACGGGCACCGCTATCGCCAAGCCCATTCCCGTTCCTCAACAAGTTGCGCCAAGGAGGGGCTTCACTCTCCCCCAAAGTGTCCCAAAGCCGTACCAGGCTGGTCCTGTGGCTTTGGAAAAGACCTATCTGAAGTACAATACAGCTGTTCCCGACGTGATCAAGGCCGCCGCGGCCAACGGCTCCGTCACCGCCACACCGGAACAGTTTGATGCCTTTTACCTCTGCCCAGTCACCATCGGAGGTCAGACTCTGAACCTCGATTTCGACACCGGTTCTTCTGACCTGTACGTCCAAGTATCTTGCAAATTTCAGGCACGGATGAACTGACTGAAATAGGTGGGTGTTCTCGTCTGAGCTCCCTAGCACGTCGCAAGCGGGCCATAGTATCTACGACCCCTCCAAATCGAGTACCTCGAAAAAATTGAACGGGGCCACCTGGAGCATCTCATACGGGGACGGGTCCAGTGCCAGCGGCGACGTCTACACCGACACCGTCGACATCGGTGGCACTGTTGTGACTGGACAAGCTATCGAGCTTGCAAAGACAATCAGTGCGCAGTTCCAGCAGGATGAGAACAACGACGGCCTGCTTGGGCTCGGGTTCAGCTCCATCAATACCGGTAAGTACTGTGGGCAAGACAGGGGACGGTCGATGCTGACAGGTATTCCAGTCAAACCGCAGCAACAGACCACGTTCTTCGACACTGCTATCAAACAAGGAGCTCTCGACCAGAGTGTTTTCACCGTGGACTTGAAGAAGGGCGCTCCTGGTAGCTACGATTTCGGCTTCATCGACGACTCCAAGCACACTGGCGAGATCGCCTACACTCCGATCGACAACTCCCGAGGGTTTTGGGAGTTTACCGGTACCGGTTACCAGGTTGGCGATGGACAGTTCCAGTCGGCCAGCATTGATGCCATCGCCGACACTGGTACCACCCTTCTCCTTATGGATGATGAGATTGTGTCTGCCTATTACGACGCTGTGGATGGTGCTCAGTATGACAGCTTCCAAGGTGGCTATACTTTCCCATGTTCGACGGATCTCCCAGATTTCGCTGTTGGCATCGGTGATTACAACGCCGTGATTCCTGGGTCCTTCATGAGCTTCGCTCCCCTCTCTTCAGGCTCCTCAAGTAAGTCCACCCACTCACCACTTTCCGGCATGTCATGACTGATAAATTCTTGTATAGGCTGTTATGGTGGTCTTCAAAGCAACCAGGGTATTGGACTGTCGATCTACGGCGACATCTTCCTCAAAGCCGTCTTCGCTGTCTTCGACAGCGAGAATCTGCAGTTTGGTGTCGCACCTAAGGAACTCTAGGAAAGCCTGGTGCGGATGATTTTGAGAAGGGTTTCCTTGACGACTGCTTGGATAGCAGTCACATTCTTCTAGATTGCAGCCTTGACCCGGTTGTGATATGTTGCATATACGAAGGCATTTTTTATGTGGACGGAGTTGGATTCATGAATCTTGTACACGCCAAAGGGCATCTGGGCATGCAATGCGGAGTACTATGTATTATCTACGTACAAATGAGGCGCCAATGGGTGCCAACAGGTCACCGAGGTGGTGAATGTGATTGACGTCACTTGCCGGATATTTCATTCATGTACTCCGTATTATTCCAGCTTCTGCACACGCCAATCATGTCATGGCCGCGCAGCACTCGCTCGTACTCGACCGTTTCCTGGCCCGTCCCAGCTTCTCTTTTGATTCTCCAGCTTACATGTGAGCTGCCGGCAGTGCACATGCTTTTGATTGATGCTCCAACGAGGCGACTCTGACTTTGCCTGGTTCCGTGAACGCGCCGAGTCACTTCACAGCGACTCGCTCTCCCACTACACTGAGATGGCGGCGACCGCGATCGAGGGCCAGGGACAACTGAATTCGGAGCCTTCTCAGCCAGAGGAGCGTGCTGAGCATGACCTACCGCCGAAGTCCTACGCCGAAGCAGCACAACCGCAGGAGGATGCCCAGAATGGAGACGCTGTCGGACTAGGGTCTGGTCCCAAGCAGAAGAGCGCAGTCAACGGTTTTGCCTCTCGGCCACTGCTTAATGGTCAGAAGGACAGACAACCACTGGACGAGGATAGAACGATCTACGAGAAGCACGTCAACCATAACGGAGAGATTTTGACGAGTATCAAGCCGAGCGACAATTATGAGGAGAGCTTGAAACACAATGGGCAGACTGCGCCTCGAGAGAAGAAGGCCACCAGGCCAGCCAAACGGCAGGACCGGACGCGGGATGAGCTCGCGAGCGGCAGACAAGCTGGTGCCGGCTGGGAAAAATCAGCGTACGCACATCCTCCTCCCACCCACTCGATGCGGCGACCGGTGACTAACATTCTCGTAGAATCCGATGGGCACCCCTCAATGTGCCCCTGCAACGCAGAATCCAGACTCTGGCTGTCTTGTGGCATACCACGACCATCCCGCTCCTGCTGTCCTTCTTCTTCCTCCTATGCAGCATCCCTCTCACTTGGCCTCTCCTCATCCCATACCTCATCTACATCCTCCTCATCAGCGAGGCAGCCACTGATGGCACGCTCAAACGAAGATCAAAATGGCTGCGTAGTTCGAAATTTTGGTCTGCCTTCGCTTCCTATTTCCCTGCTCGGCTCCACCGCACTGTCGAACTCGAACCGACCAGGAAATACATCTTCGGATATCATCCCCACGGGATCATTTCACACGGGGCATTCGCCGCGTTCGCGACCGAGGCGCTGGGCTTCTCTGAGCTGTATCCGGGAATCACAAACACTCTGTTGACGCTGGACGCAAACTTTCGAGTGCCTCTGTACCGGGATTACGCGTTGGCTTTGGGTCTGGCATCTGTATCGCGTGAGTCAATTGAAAATATCCTGTCCAAAGGCGGCCGCAACGGCGAAGGGATGGGCCGGGCAGTGACGATTGTCATCGGAGGGGCACGAGAATCCCTGGACGCACAGCCGCACTCTCTCCGGCTCGTGCTCAAGAGCAGGAAAGGATTTGTCAAGCTAGCCATCCGCACAGGCGCCGATTTAGTCCCCGTCCTCGCGTTCGGTGAGAACGAACTGTACGACCAAGTGGACAGTGTCGAACATCCGTGGATCCACAAGTTCCAGATGCTCGTAAAAAAGGCCATGGGTTTCACAATCCCACTCTTCCATGCCAGAGGCATATTCAACTATGACGTCGGCCTATTGCCATACCGACGAGCGATCAACATTGTGGTCGGCCGGCCGATCAAGGTCGTGCAGCAGGGTGGGAAGGATAACAAGGTTGATGAGAAGTACTTGGATCAAGTACATCAGGAGTATGTCGACGAACTGGTTAGGTTGTGGGACGGCTACAAGGACACTTTTGCGAAGGACCGGGAAGGCGAGTTGGAGATTGTAGAGTAGCGGCCATACGGAAGATCAACGGTGTGGATTGGGGCCCAGTCCTTGACGAAGGGAACGATTTTGGACAGGGCATGCCAGTGTTGTCGATGCACTAGAAAGTCGGTGTAGGCCACGATTATGCACTGTAGATTGTATAACATGTAACAGGAAGACCTTCTGGGAGGAAAGGAGTGAAAATCGGATGAGCCATGATCGGGATCAAGACCTGAAGAACACCAACGAGGCCACTACTTTTGTTGCAGTAGATAGCTGCGACACGCGCTCATCGTGCCTACCCTGCCCTACAGAGCCGGACACATCACTGTATTCCGAAGTACCCCGTATTGATAATACTCAAACAGCGTTGGCCAAATCAGCAAGGTCGCGAGCAGAAACTTGTACAATTTTCACTCTCCCCTGATCTGTTAATCATCTCCTCTCACGGCCACCAAACCTATCCAATTGCCATCAACTTGTACTTTGTTGAATACAACTCATCTCCTCTCATCTCACCTCTACCTCATTTCATCCACCTCCCCCACTTACTCGCCTCATAATGCCGCCCAACCGTGGACAGGGGTCTCGTAGATCAGCACCCGTGGCCGTATCCGCACGGATGAAGTCACTGGATAATGGCTTCGCTATCGAAAATGACCAGTACGGTGGTGATTTCGGGGGAGAAGAGAGGGAGGGAGGGCAGAGAACGAAGATAGTTATGGCTGTTGACGTAAGTTGGGAGACCTGAGATGGTGGTTGCTCCTCATTCCGACGGATGCCATTCCTGAAGATGTCATCGCTAACTCCTCGCTCAAAGACTAGACTTCGCACAGGTGAAAACCAGCGACGGCTCGAGCATGCTTTTGACAACCAAGTACGGGAGCTCGAGGATCAGATTGATGAGAGAGCTGAAGAGCATCAGCAGGATATGTGTGTTGAACCAGGATTCCAACTTCTCGTCTGCATCCGTATCCAGGCATAGCTGACGACTTTTCACATCCACAGAAAGCGCGTTCAGGATGCCTTCCTGACCAGGCTGCTCGCGCTTATCCGGAAGAAGGCAGATCTTGAACAGCAAATCGTCCAGCATGTCCAGGGGCTTGCCGAAGCGTACGAAGTGGTCAAGGAAGAGTTTCAAGCCGTTCTGCAGGGCCGGTTGAAGGATGTGCGGGAAGCAATCGACGCTTTAAGTGGACTGGAAAGGACCGGCAATGTGGGTTCTGAAGACCGGTACTGAAGTTTCACGTCTCGTCGACTGCGAACTGGACCTTGATGAACAAACTGCATCCTCGACAACCGACGTAAAGCTCTCCATGCTGCTTCTCTCTCTCCAGGTCGGGCTCCGTCAAGATGTATCCTTGTTCGTCGCCGCAGCGACAACCCTTGAACCAGGTGTTCGAAACTTCGGCGTACACTAGATCTTCGAGATCGTAGACTTCTACGCCGGTATGCGTTCCTTTCTGGCCGTTCACCTGTTTCCAGCCGAGTTCACCAACATCCTGGAGCGACCGATCATATTCAACACGTTTGATTGGATCGGAAAGAGTCTCGAATGCGAGCACAATCTCATCAATAGTATACCGAGTATTCGGCGCTTCATCTGGGTGGGCTTTCAAGACGCCTTTTCTGTTGGCGCCAGGAACTTTGTCTGGGTGGTGAGTGAGGAGAGCCTGCCGATATGCGGCTCTAATGTCGTCTTTCGACAGGCCTCCGAGGTCATGGCGGGACAGTCGAAGGACATCGTAATAGGAATGTGGTTGTATCTCGCTGGACATCAATGATTGCCCAGAGCTGAGAGGACTGGCACAAGGTCGCGATGGAGGTACGAGTTACTATGCAAAATTCAGAATCCGGTACGAGTGTGAGGCAGGCAATCCCCGCAAAACGCCACCAGAATCTTCGGCGCATTCAAGTTTCTGCATCTTCACGCCTTGCGCTTTTCCTACTTGTTTCTCGGATCTGCCTCACGTTCTGCTGACATGCAGCGAGCCAGGATTTGCAGCATGCATCGGGCCCAGGTCTGTCTGTAGATCATCCGGACTCTTAACTCTTCTCGGTCTGTGGAGTGTGCTCGTGTGCTGTGTTTGGAATCGCTTGCCCAAGTCGGTGTCGCTGCTGTTGTGCCGCGTCAACTTTCGACGTCATCGTTGATGTTCCTCTGCGCTCCACGCCCAGTGCCTTGTTTCAAGGTTCGTCGTCCATGTGCGGAGATGGGGTGATGCGAAAGTATTACAGGCTTCATGCTTCGTTCGTTCTGTGCCTCCTACGCATTTGCTTTCCATGCTGGGGCTGGATCTCAGGTGACCTCAGTCGTTGCTTGCCAGGTAGGCTGCCTTCTGCTTCGTCCTTCTTGATCTTCGCTTGGAACCATGTCTTCGGCAGATGAACTCGACCCGGACTCACAACGAAGAACCTATCAAGGGCCTCACTCCGCTCGTCACCCGATTCCGACGATCCAGAAATACAAGGCCGAGAGACAAGAATTGAACAACAACCAACAAGATGCGGAACAAGCTCAGCGTGACGAGACCGACGATTCGACATACAAGAGAGCCTACCATGCCGCCAAGGGTGTACTAAAAGGCGAAGATCCTCCACAGTCCGGTCACGACCCCTACAGAACACAGAACCGAAATGTGCATACCGCCGAGGGAGAAGAAAGAGACGCTGGAGGACGAGAAACTCAGCAGGATGGCCCCGAAGAAGGACAAAATCGAGAAGAGCCACAGACGAATGAAGAGCAGAAAACAGATGAGCCAGGCCAGTCCGCCACGGAGGCCGTCGCAGGGCAACATGACCCGCGTCAGAAGAGGAAGGACATGAAACACAAGAAACGCAGTGATGGCGGCAGAGAGGTCACAGATCCTGTCACTCATCTGCCCATTGTGATCCGCGACTCGACACACAAGGACCTCAAGTCCGCCGGCGAGAATATCCCGGGTCCAGGAGTGGATTACAGGACGAGGACAGGCGTCGATGGAGCGTCAAAGTCGAAAGAGGAACATGACACCGAGCGTAGGGAGCTTCAGAGCAGCCTTGATGGCATGCAGAAGTTGTTCCCACCCCCGAAGTTCGAGGACGTGAGGGATGAACTGGCGAGGACGTACGAACGAGCCGCGGTGATCGGCCTGAGCTGCATCGTGGTCGTGATCCTACTGGGTCAGCTTTTGGCTTTGGTATTCGACGTGGGCTTCTACAAGAAAGACGCCGGTTGGGTGTCCAAGGTTTGTGCTCTTGCTCTTGTCCTCGTCCCGGCCGTCGTCGCAGGAACTGTGATAGTGGGGGTCAAGGGCTGGCTAGGCAAGAAAGTGCAAACGATTTGGGACGACGAGGTCTGGGACGCTGCTCGCCAGGAGGAGCTCAGCACAACACAAGCCGAAGACGTTGTTCCCGAATCGGTGGCGTGGTTGAACAACCTACTCTCGGCTGTGTGGCCCTTGATCAATCCTGACCTTTTTACGTCGATCTCCGACATGTTGGAGGATGTCATGCAGGCTTCCCTACCAAAGGTTGTGCGGATGGTGAGTGTGGATGATCTGGGCCAAGGAAGTGAGGCGTTCCGTATCCTGGGGATCAATTGGCTACCTACCGGTGCCGCAAGTCAGTCTGTAGGCTCGGGTGGTGGTCTGAAGAGATCTGGAAAGGATGAGGAAAATGACCGCACAGCAGCTGGACAGGGTCAGGTGGACGACGGTGCTAAAGACCAGGGCGAACCCGGAGCCAAATCTGGTGACAACGCTCAAGACAAGCAGCAGAAAGAGCAGGAAGATCAGGCAATCCGCGAGGGTATGGAGGCCGAACAGGGCGACTTCGTCAATATGGAGCTGGCCTTCGCCTACAGAGCACGATCGTCGGGGAAGTCATTGACGGCCAAGGCCAAAAACGCCCATCTCTACCTCAAGTTCTATCTCCCAGGAGGCATCGCAGTGCCCGTCTGGGTCGAGCTACGTGGTATTATTGGCACTATGCGTCTTCGGCTGCAGCTGACACCGGACCCACCTTTCTTCTCTCTGTGCACCTTGACATTCATGGGCCAGCCGCAGGCGGATATGTCCTGTGTACCACTGTCCAAGCACGCCCTGAACCTAATGGATGTGCCGCTCATTTCGTCATTTGTGCAATCTTCAATCGACGCCGCCTTGGCTGAATATGTTGCGCCGAAGAGTTTGACGCTGGATCTCAAGGATATGCTCGTGGGCGACGACTTCAAGAAGGACACGGTCACGCGAGGCGTGGTCATGATCTTCATCAAATCCGCACACGGGTTCAAGCAGGGCGACGGTGGAGTCGGTCCGTTCCAGGGCTCCAGCGACGCGTACATGACAGTCTCGTGGGGCAAGTTCGGAAAGCCTGTCTCTTCGACCAGAATCATAGTCGACGATCAGGAGCCGAACTGGTCAGAATGGTCACATATATTGGTCACGCCGGAAGAACTCAACGCGGATGAAAAGCTTCGACTTCAACTCTGGGATTCGGACAAGTGGACCGCTGATGACGACCTCGGTCGGGTGGAGGTGGACCTGAAGGAGCTGATGTTTGGCTCTAAAACGAAGAACAAGATGTGTGATCGCGAAGATCGATTCAAAGGTGAAGATTCTGACGAAGACATGCCAGGCACTCTGCAGTGGCAAGTTGGCTATTTCGAAAAAACGCATATCACGGAACAGCAACTAGCGAAGCAGAATGCAGACCCGAATATTCGGACAGTCGACGATCTGAGAAAGCAGGTCAGCGACACTGCGGAGCGCAAGCTGCGAGAAGCTACAGCGCACGACGAGAGCAGAGAGATCAAGCAGCAGAAACAAGAAGATTACAAGGAGCAAGAAGATGCGTTGGTCATCTCGAGTCCTCCTCCAGATGAGTATCCCAGTGGCATCTTCAGCATTCAGATCCACAACATTACCGGCCTGGAGGTACAGTCCTTGCAGAAGAAGGACAAGAACAATGCCAACGATAATCGCGAGGATGAAGCCGAGCAGAGTGACGACATGCCCAGCAGCTACGCCACCATCATCCTCAACCATCAGAAGATCTACCGCACGCGGACGAAGCCGAAGAATGCGAAACCTTTCTTCAACGCTGGCACTGAAAGATTCGTCGCTGATTGGAAGACGGCGGAGGTCATGGTTGCGGTTCTTGATGACCGTGAAAGGGAGGACGACGCCCAGCTCGGGATGATATACCTTCCCCTTCGCCGGGTCTTCCAGGAAAAGAGTCAAGTTACCCAGACTTATCCCCTCGTTGGCGGTATTGGGTATGGTAGAGCACGAATCAGCATGGTGTGGCGGAGTGTCGAATTAAAGCTGCCGAAAGAACTTCTGGGTTGGAGTTATGGCACTTTGGAGATCAGGTGCCCCGTCAGGTCGAAAGATGCAAGGGCTCACACCAACGAAGAGAAGTCATATAGCCAACATCGCATCAAGCTGAGGACGAACATGATGAGAGCGAAGATGTGGCCAGGCTCTGGGGACGACGTGGAATGGAAGCCCAAGGGCGACAAGAAGTCCGTTTTTCTCGCCGTGCGCAAACGTTACTCCAGCCCACTGATTATGGAATTCCGCAAATCGAGCCTTGGCCCAGACTCGACGCCTGCTTTTGGGGTATTCTGGCTCAAGGATATCCCTGACGAGGAGGAGAAGACCATAACCGTCAAGGTATGGAAAGGCGGCAAGGAGGCGGCTCACCGTGCCACTACAAGTTACGGCTATTCGGGGATGGAGGAGAATGAGCAACCGCTCGGAGAGATCGAGTTGACCATTAAGTTCTGGCGCGGTCTATCTGGATACCACAAGAGCTTTGCCGACAAGTCTCGCAATGCCGATATGCGGCACGTGATGGAAGTGCTAGACACAGCCAACGATGAAGGACAAGTCGAGGAATTCGAAGCAGAGTACGGCGGTGAAAGCCAGGCGTCCGAGGATGAAGACAGCGAGAATACAGACAACGAGCAGGGCTCCGAGTCATCGAAGAAAAACAACCGCTCGCGCCGCAAACTCCGCACCCACACCAACGACGACTCCTCCGCCTCGGATAGCGACGCCGGGTCCACGAACTCGAAGAACCCGATTCGCGCCCCTGCCCAAATGATCTCCAAGCCCCTCTCTACGGCGTCCCATCTCGCAGGAAAGGTGCTAGATGTCAACGGACATAATGATCCTGACGATGGAGATCGTGGACTTCGAGCGCAGGTGAGGGACTATAAAGACCATCACAAACAACTACACCGGAAGCATAGGGGCGTGATGCAATGGAGGGGCGCTAGAACGGTGGATTGGATGACCAAGAAGGTTAAGGGTATTGAAGGGCTGGGTGACCGAGTGATGAGTAGGGATAAAGACGGGGACAAGAGTGGTGGAGGGGTAGAGACCGAGGTCTGAAGCTGTATTACTCTCTTCAAGCAGAAGGCGGAGGGAAGCCAGATGTCAGGAAACAAAAGTACACACCACGGGAACCAGGGAGTCAGCAGTTTGTGCCAGTCTTGTGGCCCGAGGCATGGAAGCGATATCTCACGGTACAAAAGGGTAGAAGCGATAACATAGCTGGGAGTGCATTTCTCTCGAATAGGCGTGAAAATATGTGTCAGTGAGCCTCCACAAGGAAGGACACAGGACTGTTATCCAAATGCGCCGCCTTCATGAGGTTCGATCGAGTCTGCTTTTCCCTGAAATGTGCCCCATCGAAGTGCTAAATGCGTCTCCGTAATACGACAACGTATCAATTGTACAGATGCTTCAACGTAGTGCTATATTCCATCACTCGGCGAATCTGTACAGTACCTCAACGTCGACCTGAGCGTGGTCGAGGTACATATCTGCGTCGTAAGTGCGTATACGACTCTGAACCAAGCCAAGAAGATTTCAGCCGACCAGCACAGTCACACCCCCAAATGTCTTCCAGAATCCACCATGTCCGATCCGCTCAACGTCATCGCCTTGATCTCAGGCGGCAAGGACTCCCTCTTCAGCATCCTGCACTGTCTTGAACAAGGGCACAAGCTGATTGCGCTTGCTAACCTCTATCCCAAGCCATGTGAAGGCCGCGGAATAGAGAAAGGAAGCCCCTCGGCTCCGGACGGCACAACTGATTCCGAAGGAGAAGATCTGAACAGCTTCATGTACCAGACCGTCGGACACTCGGTCATTCCGCTCTACGCCGAATGTCTGGGTATACCGCTTTACAGGCGACAAATTGCCGGCTCGGCAGTCCAGACAGGCCGCTACTATGATGCGAGCAATCTTGGCTCGGCGCCTGACGAGACGGAAGACCTGCTCCCCCTGCTGCGGGAAGTGAAGCGCACGCATCCCGAAGCCAATGCAATATCCTCGGGCGCCATCTTGTCAACGTATCAGCGCACTAGACTTGAGTCGGTCGCCGTCCGCCTGGGTCTCACGCCGCTTGCGTATCTATGGCAGTATCCTGCGCTGCCTCCGCCTCTTGGGCGGGGGGAGTCGGTGACGGGCTTGCTGGACGACATGGCTGCCGCTGGCTGTGATGCACGAATCATCAAGATCGCCAGCGGTGGCATCAAGGAGAGCCTCTTGTGGTCGAACGTCGCGGACCCGAGAACCCAACTGAGACTTGTCCGGGGTCTTCAGCCGTTCTTTCCGGAGCACGAGTTCTGGCTGCGAGGAGCGGTCGTGGGTGAGGGCGGGGAGTATGAGACTCTGGCTATCAATGGGCCGGTTGGGTTGTGGAAGAGGAGAATCGAGATCCCGGAGGAGCAAATGTGTGCATACTCGGGACAAGGTGGTGTCAGCTATCTTCGATTGGCGAATCCCCGAATGGTGGAAAATGGACCGGACACCGTTTACAGCGGTACCTCGTTGAGGGTTCCCGGCACTTTCGATCCGCAATTTCAAGCTGTTCTGGCGGGAATGCAGAGCCAACAAACACAAACTCTGAATGGTGTCCCGGAGGTCGATGGGCTAAGAAAAAATGCCGACGCTATACGCCATCACCAGGAGATGACAGTCCATTTGAGGCAAATGCAGTGCTTGTGTTCCAATGGTTTGGCAATATCTAACATCACGTCTGAGTTCACCACCCTGGCTGCCGGCTTCAGCACCGCTGCCATGCAGATGAAACAGATATGCCACGATCTCAAGTTCTCTCTGGACACAATCTCGAGCTCGGGCGGACTATCAAATCCAGCAACGCCCTCCAATATCGTCTTCACGATGCTCCTGCTCAAGGACATGTCGAATTTCGGTGCTGTGAATTCCGTATATGCCTCGCTATTCCGAACAGGCGAGCCGAATCCACCGGCCCGGGTGACTGTCGCATGCTCACTGCCAGACGATGTCGAAGTCAGTCTCAGCGTGATCCTCGATCTGGGGCCTCGAGATGCAAGGCGCGGACTTCACGTCCAGAGCCGAAGCTATTGGGCTCCAGCTAATATCGGGCCATACAGTCAGGCCATTTGTGTTCCGCTCGACGTCAAGCAGGATCCAGCCCTCAATGTGCACGACTCGGATCTGGTTGAGATGGCTCATATGGCTGGACAGATACCACTAGTGCCACAGACCATGCAACTCTCCGCTACAGATTTTGTTGAGCAGGCGGCGTTGAGCCTTCAGCATCTATGGCGCGTGGGGCAGGAGCGAGGGGTCGACATTTGGCCCTGGGGCATTGCTTTCCTGGAGAGCACCGAAACGGCTTCTGTAAGGGCCGAGTTGTGCTCCCGAATATGGCAACAGGCTCATAATGTGCCAGGCGCGAGGCCTCAAGATGTGCTTGATGGCGAGGAATCCGACGAAGGGCCGGACGCATGGGACTTGCAGTACAATCGCGCAAAGACATTCGAAGCAGCGGCGACCCTTTTGCAGACAGATCGGCATCTTCATCCCCTGCCAAATGATGCTGTCCTCCAGGACCCTAACATCGGGGCAAGTGTGACTCCTCCGTTCATCGCAGCAGAAGTCATCTCCCTGCCTCGAAGCGCGCCAGTCGAATGGTGGAGTATGGGGATCACGAATCTGCCCAAGCGACCTGCCTCGAGGCCGCGAGTGTCTGTGGCTCGGAAAGATCACGCATGGGGATCTCTTCACAAGGTTACGCTCTTCCCTTCGTCCGAGCCGACAACCGAAGGATACGTCGTCCACTTGGTCACGATAACTCTCTGCGAAGAAGCGATCTCTGCAGGCAGCATTGACGGTGATTCACGTATCCGAGACGATCTCCTTACCTTTGTTTCAGTGGACCGAGGCCCATTCAAGCAGGGAGCACCTTCGGCGGAAGTTGTCCACGGTACCGCTTTCATTTCCGCGCAGGGCTGGGACCACTGGTCTCTCTTACGCAGAGATGGACTCTTCGAGACATTGGTGGTCGTCCCGTGTGAATCCGTGTATGGGTGGTCGAACCCAGCTGTCAACAACGTTGAACCTTTGGGTTCTGCGCGCGAAAGCCCCTCCGCTCCTACTACGGAGCTCAAGGCCTCTCCAACGCAGCGTCTTGCCGTGGCCATCACGATGCGGATTGACGGATGACATGATAATCCCCCTAAGGTTGCCGTAAGCCTGCATTGGGATAGACTTGAAGAGGTCAGAGAGGTGGATCTAATCAAGCTCATCCGATCTACATATCTTAGAGCAGGATTCCAAATTCTGCGGGAATGGTATGGCATGGCATGGCATCGGGCCCAAAAAAAAAGTGTGGCTGAACTGCGAGCGAGACGCAACGTCGACCGAAAATGGACTGATGGCCGGCCGGGAATCTTCAGATTAGACGGTCTATCTTTGCAATGTCAGCGACCGATAGTCGACCAGCCCTGCATGCCTTCCCACTCCACCTCGAGCTTTACTGACTGGCGGTGTGCTGTGTGCGCCCGCCATTGTCGACCGTGTACGTAACGTAACGTCTTGGTCCTAGTATGCCGTACTAGGTATGTACAGGGGTATGTCGCACTAGGTACAAGGTACAAGGTACGCTGCTTCAGATAGATGGACCCATGGTGGTGTCGGCTTCCAGGAGAGCCCTGGGATTCATCCATGGAGAGTGGATGGTTTATGGCGGCGAAGGCTGCTGTGCCAGGGGGGCGGTCCATTCTGGAGAGTCATGGGAGAGTCATGGGAGAGTCATGGAAGAGTCATGGGAGAGTCATGGAAGAGTCATGGGAGAGCCATGAGATCGATATTGGTCCAGGTACTGTAAGGGACAGACCAGGGACCGCTGGCTATGCTTGAAGAGATTACACCGGACGAGAAGGGGAGTTGTTGGAAGCAGGTCGTAGACATCTAGTGTATCTTCACCTCTCCGATCGTTGGGCGTAAGAGACAGCCAGGGGACCGCTGGCTATGCTTGAAGAGATTACACCGTACACCGGGCGAGAAGGGGTGTTGTCGGAAGCAGGTCGTAGACAATCTGCACATCTCTCGAGCGAGTGTGTGTGCTGGAACGAAGCATTCAAGGATTTTCCCTTCCCAGGAAACAGGGATGCCTGCAGTCATTGATGGTGTCTCTGGCTGACATGGGCCATCAAGCTAACAACGCACGCCAACTACTGTCTTAACACTACTGGAGATGTACCAGCCCTATACACCCGGCAATGGCCATGCGCCTGGCAGCTGTACGTGGGAGGGATTCACTGGGATTCTTAAGTGGCTGGCCTTATCTGGACGTAGAATCATCCAATATGGGACTTGACAGGAGTTACTATGGCAGCATCGATCATCTGAATCAGAAGGAGAAATGTTGACATGGACACTGCAAAGCATGGACAGGGCATGGGCACTTCCAAAGCAATCCACACCAGCGCTGCCACCCACGCGCCACCCACGCGCCACCCACGCGTCACCTTCCAATGTATTGAGCCGCAAGCTAGGTTTGACAGCAGCCCGGCAGTCCAGTATCCATGCAGCACAGCACCCCAGCGTACTGGGTACAAGCATACAAGCAGCCCCGCAGCCCAGCAGTCACCGGTCCAGCAGGATGCGCAATGTGGCTGGGCGGGGCTGGGCTGGCTGGCAGTGGCGTCCTCGCAACTTATGCCTTGATCCGCCAGTGATCGAGCTCTCAAAAAGGGTTTCCACGCGATCGCCACGCATGGATTGGATGGGATCGGAAGGGAAGGCAAATGTCAACCTTCGAAGACAATATCACGCGCACGCAACCCACTTTCCGCAGTTCCCGAGCAGCTTCGACAGCGGGACATCGGGAGCGCGGAGCAGCGGGGACACCAGCAGATGACACGAGTACGAGTACAGTCCTCTTGTCGTGTGTATTGCGCGTGCTCTCCGCAGGGTTCTCCGTCAATAGCGTTGCACATGTCGATCCGAAGTATGTAGGTCAGCGAGGACCCCAGCAGATGACACGTACGAGGTACACCCCTCTGGCGTGTATGTGCTCTCTGCAGGATCCTCCGTCAATAGTGTTGCCACCGGCAGCGACATACTGATCCGAAGTATGTAGGTCGGCGGGGGTGCCGTACCAGTACAGCACGAGCGAAAAGTCCTAAAATAATTACGTACCGGTCAATTGAGCATGTCGACGATCCACAGAACGAGTGTTGTAGCTGTCTTGATCGTGCCGGGATGTCTCCGTGCCCTGGAGAGCGGATGCTCTATTGGTTCCTGAGATCGAGTGGAGTAAATCCGACAACCTGCTTGATAGTCAGTGATTAGTAGGGACTCGTAGTGATTGGTAGCCGCCTGCTTCGTCACGGTGATGAGTTGGTACCAGATGGTACGATGGGCACGTCCATCCACGCCTACCTAGCCACTGGGCGTTGGATGTACTGTGCTGTGCATGTAGAAGGCGTTCATACGCCGCTTGACGTGTACCTTGCTCACTGCTTGATGGAAGCATGTCATGAGTCCCGGGAACGGGACGAGGGAGGTCGGAGAGACCGCGAGGCAAATGCAACGGGGGAGGAAGAGGCCGGAGCTGTCAGGAGCGCGATGTGAAACACAAAGACCGCGACAGGCAGGTGTCAGTCAAACTCTGTCGACACGCGTGCATCCCACCCCAGACGGCGTTGAGGTAGTTACAAGTAGCAAGGGGGAAAGAAGATTGACTCGCGGAGTTACTCCATACAGGCTGTGTTACACCTTGTTGTTCGTCGGATTGGTTGGGGTCGCGGTGTCTGCCGAGAGAAAAGGTTCTTGGACTGTACTCCACACTTATGATTTTGAGACGGACGGGTGTAGAAGGTAGATGGTAGATGTATATAGCAATGGTGAGACCGCGTGCTGTGTACGGGTGTACTGTGTACCCTGGCTTCCTCAAGACTGCAGGGTTTGATATAGGGAGTACGGAGTACTAAAGGGGTCAAGGCACAACTGTGAAATGATATATAGTATGAATAGAACCAAGCGGTGGTCTGCCCTTCTGTGTATTGTATCATCTCTCGCCCCACCTGTCGGCACCGCTCCCTCACGCTTCTTCATTGAGTATCAAGTCATTCTTGCCTTTCAGTTGCACATTGGTCTCCGTCGCTGGATCGAGCCGTCGTCGGAGTCTTCAACTCACCACGAGTTTCACGGCAGTGGGGCGAGGATGGAGGAGGTGCGGTCCAAACAAACGGTAGTGGCGAGGTCGTCCGGAGAAAGAGGGCCATGAGAGAGGGTGGCATCAGACTGCCACGGTCCATGGTCGAGTGCATGCGTGGATGAGGTTGAGGAGAGACGGGAATCCAAACATCCGGGAGACGCACGAAGGCTGTCTTTATAAGAAGAATGTGGTGATCTGCATCAAGAGAGCTTCGAGATGCTTCTTTGCACGGAAGATTCTTCTTGATGCAGTGCTCATGACTGGCTCGTCATACAACCCGTTGTTTGTTGACTTGATTCTTTCCAGCTTCGGAGTCAGTAGTGCTCCACCCGATTTGGACAAAGGTGACGCCGCCCTGTGCTCACCCTGAGGGCTGCGCGAGTCAGGGTAAGTCCCGTACCTCAACGGCCGTGCCGACTACCGTCTGGTCCAATTACGGGGTAAACTATGAGTAGAGAAATTCTTCAAAAGCGGCGGAACGAGTTCGACGCTTTGAGGCTAGTAGTGGCTGAACTGACTTCACCCTCGGGCGCCAGCAAGACCTTCATGATCTCAGCCTTATTCCCTATGTTCGAGCGAAAGCGACTCGTATACATAGTGCGAGGAGGAGGACCAGAGATAATTGACAAAGAACCTCTCTCGCTGCTTCGCCATTTTCCGTTCTCCCATCCAGTTTTCTTCACGTTGCTGCCTATCCCCTTAATGGCAGAATGCCCAACGGACACCATAGGCAAACAATGTAGACAGTGGGATGGCGAAGCGAGGACTTTGAAGAACAGCCGGAAAACATCGTCCCAGAGGACATGCAGGCTGGAGACAGAAGTGTTGGGATGGACGGCTGTGCTAACCAATTCACCGGTCTTATCTATGCTGCTACAGTAGGAAAGACGTGCTGGGAGAAACATCTTGGGAGAAATGTCCCGGTAGTCGACGCAGGCAGCTTTGGCCCAGTACTCGTACGGGGGCACAGGAGAAGGCGCCATCATCCGGCTAATCCGATATAACGTGGCCATCTTGATTGGCGCTCCCCAGATTATTATTAGCCAGCCGAGATTGCGTTGGCGCCTAAACGGAGAGCTTCTTCAGCTTCAGCCTCACAATCCTGTTCCGCTACACATGCTTTCGATCCTGGTCGCTGAGGCATTAGCATGAACACTATGTCAAACTGCTGTTGCCTTGGAGTCAGACGTGACGAGATATCGACGGTTCTGCCCGAAGCGGCTCCACGGGCTGTGTATGACATAACAAGTGCCCCCAGCTCGCAACATGTCAGTCGCCGGCGAGATTGCTACCATCGTTGGACTCGTCCAAACTGGTTTCAGCCTTGCGAAAGCTATCACGGCTTACATCTCGGACGTGGGCAGCGCCAAAGACGACATCCTGACCTTGTTGAGCGATATTGACGCCACCTGCCGGAGCCTGAGAGACCTGGCAGACATTATCAAGAGGAACGAAACGAGAAGAGTTTGGTCTGAAGATGGCCTTGAGAACGCCAAGAAATGCGTCCGCGATTCGCAAAGAGTCATCACCAAGATGAGAAAGTTGTTGACCAAAGCTACGGCATCCGGCGCAGCTCCAGAAGTGACCAAGGAAGATATCGATGTGACAAAGTTCGAGAGGTCCAAATGGCCGCTCCTCAAACCCGAGCTGGAAGTGCGACGGCAAGAGTTGCAAATCATCAAACAAGACATCATCTTGTGTTACACTACTTACCAGGCGAAAGCTGCTGACACGCCGGACGACCGACAACGTGCAGCGGATGATCTCCCACGCCTCGAACGGATGAGAAAACTGATGAAGGGCCAAATTATTGATGCAAAGAAACGACGCACCCGCTCTCGATTCGCCAAAGACTCGAAACATGGTGGTCCCTACGCACGGATCAGAGATCAGCACGATGATATCCTCGATCCACAAGCGTACAGTCGTAGAAGCTACTCTGACGACGGGAGCGTGGACGACGCACTTGATGAATTTATATACAACAACATAGATGATCTCATCCAAGATTTTGAGGACTGGGCGAAGGGAAAGGAGGAGAAACGGAAAAGGGCAGAAGAAGAGACCAAAAGAATACAGGACAGAGCGGTCGAGGACTGGAAACGGCAGCAGAGGGAAGAAGCTGAGCGGCTGCGGAAACAGACCGAGGAGGCCCGGGAAAAGCTCAGAACGGAGCTCAACCGGCAACAGCTGGCACCGGCCAAGATCGAAGATACCCTGAACAATGTTCACCCATGGCCCCAAGCATTGGGAACCCTTGCCTTGTTGCCGCCACCCGACCAGGACAAAAAGTCGGACGCAGATGCCGACTCGACACAATCAGGGAACAACCGAAAGTCAAGAGGTCAATCGATCTGGTCGAGGGTAAGCACCAGGCGATCCTCAAACGATGCCAATATCGACACAAGCCAACGTCATCCTAAGATACCGGAGTTCCTTCGTGATCCATTTGCGTCAGGCGGAGTGGCCGAGTTGAAGGCATTCTTCTACTCACGAATTCACTTATCATCCGGCTCGGCTATCAGCCCAATCAATGTGGAGATTCCGTCGCAGTGGCTCCTGAATGCTCTCATTGCGAAAGAGGAAAAGTATTTAAAAGACCCAAAAGGCAATTCATTCTGGAAAGAATTTGCGCAGCTACCAGATGACTACCGATACGCGATCAACCGTCACGTCGACTCTTGGCAAGAATCGTCCAAAACCCAGGGCTCTTGGGTCCTGATATATATCGAATGTTTGAGGATGGAACAAAAATATGCCAGGCTCCTACGGAACAGACCAGACGAGATCACAGGAATCTATGTCGTGCTCAAAAGAGTATCTGGAAGCATGCAAGCGCGGTTGGCCGACGCCACACACCACGCCGCGGGAGACGGTGGCTCTGTTGCGTCCGATAGGTCTCGTGAGTCTACACGGCTCAATGTTGTGGAATCCCGCAGTGACATTGACGATGATGCTTTCAAACCCGCTCTCCATAGAGCATCGGTAATACGGCGTGATCACAGCACACAGTCGCAGCCCAGGTCAAGGTCAAGGTCAAGGTCAAGATCATATTCCTACGGGAGAGATCCTTCTATCATCGCGAAGAGAGCTTCCTTTATTGATGGCCAGGATAGGTATGATGAAGATGACGATTATGGTGATGTGGTGATTGAACCAGTTGAAGTGAGGGTGGAAGGGCCTCGATCTAGGTCACGAAGAAGAGATTCCACTTCCTTCCACGAGCGCGAGATTGTCGACAATATTATTAGGCTACCGCCACCGCCGCAGAATTACGGGTATAGCAATGAACCCCGGTACGTGCCTGAAGGGGTATTTCGAGGACCGCCACTTCTCCGCGAAAGAGAGGGGGTGATCTACCCAGGTGGACCAACTCGTTCGCCGCCCCCCGATGAACCCTACATGCATCCACCACCACCATCATCACCATCACCACCACCCGATACTCCTTACCGATACAAACAGCGTCCCGGAGCGAGGCTCCTAGAAATCGACTATTACGGGCCGCAACCCGACGGTGTGTCTGTCAATAACCCCTCTCGTCCCTCTCCACCGCGTCGCTCGGCCTCGGGTTCCGACAATGATCGCCGTGCACGCATCTCCAGTCAGCCGCCAACCATCATTAACAACTTTGAGAGACCTCCTCCTCCTCCTCCTCCGTGGCCACGGGGGCGGGAGCGCGCGGTCGTGCGCGAAGAGATGATAGTCCCATGGTACGAAAGTCCACGGTCAAGGTCACGTCATCGAGTCAGAGAAAGAGAGGTAGACCGTGACGAGATCATCATCCGTCGAGAGGAGAGAGAAGCCGGGCGACTCCCACCTCCGCGTCGCCGCTCTTACGACTTGAGGGAGCGCCCATCGCGCAGCAGCACCCTCGACTCCGTGGACTCGGCAGGATCAGAGAAGCGTGCTCGCTACCACAGGGGCGGCTACTCGGCTGGACCAGCTCTGCGCCACACCTCGGCAATAGGGAAGGATGACTTCCTTGTCGACGACATGTACCACGCCTCTAGCCACTCACACCACCACCACCATAGGGCCCCGCTTAGCCCCGTCCGCGAAGGCACAAACGACAACGATGAAGATGAAGATGACGACCTTGCAACCCACTCCTCGTCGACGGCATCATCAGTGTCGTCCAGCAGCGACGAATCCGGCGCAGGCCCAGGTAAGAGGGGAGACAAGCGCCCGGATGCCGCCCGAGATGAGACGGAAAAAAGCGATGCAGACATTGCGAGGGAGATACTCGCGCGGCTAACCACGGACACAGAACCCAATGGCGTGGCAGCAGGCGGGGAAGCAGGCTTGAGTCCAGAACAGCACGCACATGGCAGCGAGGAAGGGGAGAGTTCGGCCACTAGAGCGGCGTCATCGCAGTCGCAGTCGCAGCAGCAGCAGCAGCAGCAGTCGACAACAGGCATCTTGGGCGTTGGTATGTCGGAAGAACCTGCTGCTCACCAGGATTAGGGGATTTTGCTTGCTAAGAGTCGACGGCGCGCCCAACCTGCGGCGTCAAGAGATATATATAACAGTCTCGCAAGTTACAATGGGTGGCTTAGGCCCATGGAGTCGTCCATATCAGCTCTCATTAATTGCAAGGTTTCCTCTTGAAGGAAGTCCTCATACCAGCTTATTCGACGCAACGGCCGGCGTTCCTCCTACATGGCCACTTAGGACGAACCATGGTAACATCGCGTGTTTGCACACGAACCTGGGTCGTCGGTGCGCATGGGATACTGTATGTCGTGAACATACGCAATCACACGAACCCAGAAGGGATACCCGCACCGGTGCCTACACAGGACTGGTACTGCACCGAACTCCTTGCTCTCGCCATGAGGTGCCATCCACCTGCTGGACTCCGTACATATTAGTCTATACCCACACTACCGCACTTTCCTTTACTTTACCACGCCTCTCTTCGCTTGCTTTGCTTTGCTTTGCTTTGGTCTGCTCCTTGCTTCGCCCACCTTTCACATGGCATTGCACGCCATGGCATATCATGTCATGTCTTTCACAAACTCGTACGCATGCATCGACCCTTGGACACACATCCACCAGGCCCCTCTTCGTGGATTCGCGCGTTGACTCAAATCTTGCAGAACTCGTATGGAGATCTTCGCTTGCACGCCTGCCCACCCAACTCAGCGACGCGACGAGACGAGACTTGAACCTTGGAACCGCGGTCCGCAAACCGCGATCCGCGATCCACGACCGTCCAAGCAGCGCAGGAGGCGGGAGGCGGGAGTGAAGTGGAAAAAAGAACCGAACACCAGAAGGAGACGCGCGCTCCTTGCCGTGCGTGCCATGCCATGCGAAAGTTCCATTCCCTACGGACTCACACAGTACGGAGTACGTATGTAGGTATGTAGGTATTTACGCGATGTCTCGGCGGGTGTGACACTACGAGCAGAAAGAGAGTACGGAGTACCTCGTACCGAGGACTGTCACTACGTAGATGGCTGCAGGCGGACTGGTTGGCTGGCTGAAGTTTACAGAAAGCGCGCGCGGGGCACCAAAGTCTCTCTCTTGTGTGTGCTTCGCGCGCGCATCTCCTCTAACCCAACACGAGGACAGACCCAGCACTGCTGACTGGTGCCCTGTGGCCGTGAGGGACGCACCACGGCAGGCGCCCTTTTTCTTCTTCTTCGTTCTTTTCTCTTTCTCCCGCGTCTGCGGCGTCCGAGGCGCCCCAAGCGTCGCGTAGCGCCTGCATTAAACCCGCGTTAAGGGACGGATTAACACCTGCACGGCGCGTCTGTCTTCTCTTCTCGTATCCTACGTCGCCCACATTGTGGTACCCACTCACACTGGCTCCTCCCCTGCCTTAGCGCCGTTTCAACAGGCCGGCCCCTGTTTCGTTTCTACAGCAGGTACTCCGTACTCCATACTCCGTATCGCCATTGCCACCGTTGCTTGCCCTTGTGGGAGCTCAGTTCACAGGCGTGACAGGACGACTTCCAGTCCCAGCACACAGCACACAGCACAAACACTCGCTTAGCCCTGTCCTCGGACTCGTCCTGTGCGGAATATGCAGCACTCGAGCGAGTTCCTCTGGCTACTGTAGCATAATTAGCACGCTGTGAACAATGCATTGCACTGCACTGCACAGACAGCAGCACAGCACGGGCACCGCGCACATTGAACCGTCAGTCTACGACTTGCTACAGTACAATCAGTAATTAGCGAAACTTGTAACTCGTACTCGTCGCAATGAAGCCCATTGATCCCCCTTCCCAGCCAAGAGCGACGCGCGTGACGACATCCATATGCATACACATACGCCTACACATGCGTACACAGAACACCAGTAACCCGTATTGTTTGATCTGATCACTGTATCACTGTATCACTGTATCACTCATTCGTGGCACATCGCCTGGGGTGGTGCATGTGCGTGGGTGCGCTGCATGCTCAACTCTTAAATTTCCCAATGTCCAATGTCCAATTTCCTAACTTTGCATGCAGGCCATGCCGTAGTTTACCATGCAGACTGGTGTACACTAATGCAGTCAATGCGCCGCGACGCGATGCGACGCGAGACAAGGCAAGGCGAGGCATGGCTTGGTGCCGTGATGGAGATGATATAGAATAGCATGTGATGGCATGTGAAGGAATAGCATGCGATGATATGAGAAGAGAAGAGAGATGCGACGGTACGGGAAGGGCATGTCCGACCTGCTAGGTAGGTACCGGTACTCGTCCTCGTCCTCGTCCTCGCACTGTGTACCCATGCCGACCCCGGACTAAAGGGAAAAAGGCAAAAAAGCAAAAAAGCACAATCCCGTCGCGTGCACCCGTTCGATAGTGCTGGTGGTGGCGGTGGTGTGTAACTTGTCCTCCGTACCGACACAGTAGGTGGTTATTTTGGGGATCGTGGCTGACCTGCTAATGCGTAGTCAATATCAGTTCTTATCAAGGTTATCCGGCGAGGTATCAGACTTATCGATAATACACACGCACACGCACATCCCAGCCTGTGAACTACGTAACTCGTTTTGTTGGCCATGGAATTTTTGTGCGCTCCAGATTCGCTCCAGATTCGCTCCAGGCTAATGTCCTCTATCGACCAGGAGATGCCGAGATGGGTACAGCAGTGTAGTGTATGCAGTCACCTGGGGACGTGGACGGGAACTGAGTCCGAGTCTGAATCTGAATCTGCCTTCAACGTACTCGTACCTCTGGCTTTGGCGGCCAACAAAACACAGCCGTCGCAAGCTCACACCACTGCACTGCCTGGGCATTGCGCACCGACATGCTATCATCACGAAAGGATCGTCTCGTCAAAGCGTGGGGAACAATCCGATACAGGTTTCAATGAATTGTAATAGTACAAGGTACATTTGGGTACATGAGCGTGCAATGCTGTGATGCGTAGTAGTACTGGCTGCTGATCCACCTCCTCCTTCCCACATACTCTTGTCTGGTGATTGCTTGCGCTCTGTTGTCTTCCATCTTGCAGCGATGTCGAGAAAGAAACCCATGGGTGATCAAGCGAAAGTATGAAAGAATACAAAAGTTGATTGACAAAGAAATGAAAAGAAGGTGGTGGTCGGGCTCGACCTTGACGTCCCCCTCTGTTCTCTCCCTCTTCCTGCACAACTTCGTCCTCGGCCGGAAAAAAAAAATACAATCTCTCGTGTCCATCACAGCCCACCCATTGCCCCCGTCCCATCCACCAAGAAAGGCCATAGAATACAGTTCAAGTTGGTCTTGAAGAAGGTCGAAGATTTAAAAAGGTTCTAAGCACTTTTCTTTTCCCGTAGGCATACACATTCTTGAGCTCCTGCGCTGCTTCCCATCGTCTTTGACTCCGGACCTGCCACGGTGCAGTGGCGAGGCGTTCCCTGAGAAGTAGTCTTCGGTTTGGTCTTCAATCACATCATAAGAATCATTTCGGTCGTGGTTGCTTGCGTGGTTTTATTTTCCAGTGTTCATGATGCATGAGGTCAAATCTCGTCTTTACAGGGATTCGTCTCGCTTTCTCTTCTTGAGAGCACGCTTGCTCTCCCCCGAGGAGGAGCCTTCGGAGCCGCTGCTGCTGGAAGACGTCGCCATGGCAGCTCGCTGGGCGGCCTCGTAGAGAGCATGGCCCATTTCCTCATCATATGGTTGATGAGGCTGGAGCTCGCCGTTTTCGAGGACACCCATGACGATGGCACCGCTGCCGTGCGTGCGAGCATGTTGGGCCAGGTTGTCGGATCGGGAAAACTTCTTGCCACACTCGTTGCACTCGAAAGGCTTATCTTGGGTGTGGAGAGAGCGGTAGTGGCGCTTGAGATGTTCTTGGCGACGGAAGCGGCGAGAGCACAAAGTGCAGACGAAGGTCTTGCTGGGATCCTCGGTCAAAGATTGCTTGCGACCACGGCGGTTGGTAGGCGCCTGGGATGGAGTAGAGCCATCGGCTTCGGCAGGGGTGTCAGCATCCTCGCCATTGTTGGTCTGGTCTTGAGGGGTAGCCTCGGATGTGCTTTGACCGTCGGCGTGGCTGTGGATGTGGGCATCCGAGTGGGTGAAGCTCGAGAATTCGAGTTCACTGTCAGCGGAGCTGTGACGCTTGCTCATCTTGCGCTGAGTCTTCTTCTTCGGTGCACCGCACGAACCCGAGTCCGAAAAGGAGGAGGCAGGAGGCGAGGGCAGACCAGCTTGAGCGGCGTGGTCCTCCTCATCAAAACTGCCAAAGCTGTGAACGCTGAGGAAGTCCTCCTCTTCGGCAGCCGTCAACTTCAGCCTCTTGTCTCCGTTGTAGGCAACTTCAGGGGTGAAGTCGACAAAGCTGAATTCGTCCTCGGAGTCCAGCTCAGTGCAGAAGGATGAGTCAAACGAAGGGTTCTCGACGAGCGCGAATGGATCGGCGGTCTCATGCTCGGGGGTGATGGGGAAGGCTGGGTTGCCGAGAGCGAATTTGTGTTCGTCGTCTTCGGCGGAGAGAGTCGGCAAAGGAGGGAAGCTTTGAGCAGGGACGGCGAGGACAGGCTCAAATGAGGTAGAAGTGAGATCTCGCAGATTGACGAACTCAGCCACGGGATAGGCTGAAGGCGAGACGACAGATTGCGGTGAGGCAGGAGTGAGGGAAGGCGAAGGGCAGCTGCTTGACGGGACGGTGGCAGTTGCCGAGTGGAAGGAGTCGGTGCAGTTGCTGGGAAGGAGCGCCTTGGCATCGCCGGGATGCGGGAAAATGTGCACCTCTGTTTCCAAAGATTGTTAATTTCTCTCGTCGTTTCAGCTCTCACACCCGGGTGCTACTTACGTCCGTGTTCCGCCCACTCGTCCAAAAAGGCAAGAGGCTGCATCTCTTCCTTGGTTGTGTCGATGGGCAGGTTGAAGTACCCTGCGCCGTGCACGGGCGTCTGGTTCACACTGCTGGCCGGTGGGCTGCTCGCGGTACTGGGGCACGCCGAGAGCGATGGCGTCGGAGGTGAGGAGTGCCTGCTTTCCAGAAAGCGGCCGTGCTCCATCTGACCATTGCCGTCGAGAACAATCTTGGGCATGGCGAGAGTCAGTGGTGGCGAAGCCCTCGGGGTCATCACTTGTTGGGGCATGTAGTGTGCGTGAGGATGGCCCCGAGCAAAGTGAGCCGGCGCCTGCTGCCAGTATTGGTGAAGCACATAAGGGTGTTGCTGAGGGTACCCAGCCATGGGGCTGTAGACTGGCTGCTCCGTCGGCATCGGGGTGAACACAGCGTTATGTCGTGCGTCCGAGTCTGGTCGGTATTGGTAGAACTGAATCTGTTGAGTTGCCATTGGGTACGGCCCTTCCATGGCAATGTGCTTTGGCGAAATGCTTCAGTTCTCGTTCTTTCCTCGGCTTGCTGTCACTTGCAGAAGCCTTCAAGTCTTCCACAGGGAGTTGCTTGGTTGTAGTACAGATTGGTACAAGGAAATTGGTGGTCCAATGAATGGCTATGTCGTCGTCTCAGACGTCCCTTCTCGTTGCAGTAACTAGCTCGCTGTACATATACAAGGCAGGTATGCTGGTAACCGTGTGAAGAGGATGATCGGGCAGGCAGGTAGGATTATGGTACAATGTTGGCACAGGCTTGAAAGGAAGGACTGGATATTGTTCAATTGGTACAGGGAGTGTTTGTACAGATGATTGAACAAAAATCCGGAAAGACCTGGTCAAGGAGAGATATAACGAAGTAAAAGAAAGTGCAGATCGCGGGGGGGAATGAACGACTCGCCTCGATATGAGGAAACGAAGAGGAGGTTATGAGCTGGGTGGTTGAACGAGCCATAAAGAGAGATCGCTGGGACTGAGGCCGCTGTCGACCAGCGCCTTGGGCCTGCAGCTCGATGGGGTATGGTCCAAGGTTGCAAGGAACGGGCGCTGGATTCGGGACCGTCGTGTCGACCCATGCAAGTGACTTGACGGAGGGTGGAGCTGAGTGGTCTCACCACCCCCAGTCCGTCTGAAGCACTATCACCCACTAAATCGGCCCACCCTCCCAGCCGCACCCTTAGGGCAGCGGCCCTGGTTCCTGGATTTTCGCCCGCGCCTTGGGCGAAAGGGCGTTCGGGTCCTGGCTGTCTCTCCGGGCTGTGCTGGGTGACGCCGTGCAGTCTATCACGCAGCACCCATCTGCATGGGAAATTGCACTGCTGCTGGGCCATCATCCCACCTCGACGTCGACGGGCGCCGATGACGCACCGTGGCCTGCACCGAGGCCACATTGATCGCTATGTGACTGGGTGAACCATGTTCGATAGCGGCTCTGGTATCGAGGCGGAAGCAATCCTATGAGTATAGAGAAATGACCAGAATGACGACCTTGACCCCGCCATTGGCGGAATTGACATGCGGTATCACAGAACAGCGCTTGAAATCCCGTCGTCAAGTGGTCAATTGCGACCTCGATGCGCATACGAGCAGAGCATCTTGGCCGACTTCTCTGCACTTTGGGTCCGTGAGTTTCTTTGGTCGGCCAGCCGGCAGGAAAAAGCATAACTCGACACAAATCCTCCTGGGGAAATCGACTGAAAAGACGACTTGCGTAAAATCATTCGTTTGCAGCATGTGGACATGTACCCTGGGGCTGGTGTGGACAGGCCATCGAGGGTTCAATACGCTCCCCGATTAGGTTCTGTTGTTCGCAAAATGCAGATTCACGCTCGAATCAACGACGTGTCTTTCATTCTGACGGCTGGTGTGCATACAGAACCAGTGATGCTGCAGGCCAGGCGCGGGCAATGACTGGGCGACTCGCTGGGATGTCAACGCCAATCAGCAACGTGACGTGCGAGCGCAGTGGGTGATAAGCTGCTTCTCCCAGCCTGTAGAGCGAATCGCTGCCTGACCTATTCTTGGACGTTGCTACAAGGCCATCTTTCCCATATCACTTGATGGACATCGTCCAGATCAGTCAGCTTGGGTAACTCTTGCTGCGAATCGCCCACGGGCGAGTCTCGTAGACGCTGGGCTGGAACATTGGATAGCACCACCCACGAGACCTTTGGGTGTGCAAAAGGCCCGATGACCACAGAATCTGCCTTGGGGTCATGATTGGGTGCTGGGACTGGGCAGCCCAGCGCTGAGAGCAGAGCTGACAGTGACAGCATCACCCACAACTGCCATCCTCTACGACCATTCAGCATACGGACGTGGTGGCGACTTTTCGGTTTCGCGCACCATGGCAGTTGACTGAGGCGAGTGTGAGCGCAGAGGGTTCCAAGGTCGTGCAGAGAGGCTTGCATGTCTCAGAGTCTACGCATGCCACTAATGTTTCTCCGTATGCAGGTACCACCCCCGCCGCGGCAGAAGTGGCTACGGTGGCAGTGGCAAGTCTGGGATGCCAGAGGATGTTCTGTGCCGGAAAGAAACCTCGAGCTGTGAAATGTCGACATCCGTGGTGTGCGTATGCCGGTTAGTCCAAGTATTGCAGGATTCTTTGCAACCGAAGGACACCTGTCAAAGGGCTGCTTTAGGTTTGCTTGTCGCATCTATCAGCGAGGAGACTGTTTCGCAATGCAGGCGATGCGAGGGCAATCCAATGGCCTGCAACGACTGAATTCACATGCGAGCCGCATCCTGCGAAGTTTCCCACAGTCAAGCCATCGATACGTATTCGCTACCCGTCAAACAGTCTGAGTTAGCAGCCGTGAAGAATATTGCATAAGACCCAACTTTCTCGCCTCCGGGCGGGAAGAACTTGCTTTTCCCCGCCTCTCGCTGCATATCGACTACCGCAGTAGAATTTGACAGCGTGTTTCATGTTCTTCCAACAAAATCGACAAGCAAAAGAAGCGAGCTCTTGTAGGCCCGGTGGCATCATTGACATGCTCAGCTCGAGTAAGCACATTGCCGATCTGAAGTGGCGTCTTCGTGCTCGGAGCGCAATGAAGCTGGACTCGCATAAGGACGAATAGTTTCCATGGCAGTACTAACTCGTAGGCGATGTCTTTTGTTGCATCGAGTCATCAACGGGTCCACCGGCTGCCTACGTACTCGGTGGTGTGCGTACTATGGTACGAATATTCCATCGCGGCCCTTGGGTGGCGGGGTCCACTAAACACCGCTCCCACTGAGGTCGAGACAAGAGGCTCTCTCTGCCGCTCGTGCGAGTACCTACAAGCGAAGGTTTGGATCTCCCGACCTGCTCGATGAGACTTGCCTTCACCCGACGCGTATCGACAGCTCTCACGCGTAGTCTGTCGAGTCTGGGCCACGCTCAACAGTGTCCTCTGTTTTCACTCTGTCCTGTAAGAACGTGATATCCAGGGTCCTTGCGAGAGATGACGCTATCCATATGCCCTGATCATCAGAGCTGCACCGGGTACTCGTACCTGACGAGGACGGAGTAACTGGTCCCACAGGCGAGCTTGGAGGAGTCGTCTGGTCGGGAGATCTGACCTTGAATCCTCGAGGAGAGTCAATTGCCTCCATCATTGTTGCATCATTTTCAGCGAAGGTGCTGCCGAAATCATATGCCATCACATCGATCGACGTTCCGAAGAGTAGTGCCTTCCTAATCTGTTGCGGTGGCCGACGAGGCAAGTGATATTCGACGGGCTGTGGACTGGAAAAGCGGCATTGTGTCTTTTCCTCCACACATACGGAGTACTCGTACTGGGTACTGTGGTGTGAGCAAGGGTCTCGACTTCGGCCTAATCGGCTAACAGCTGGTCCTACCCATTACCAGGGCTTCTGCCCACAGAAAGCCCAACCCAGGACGTTCTGGGCAGAGCAGATCCCAAGGAATGGCTTCTGGCAGGAACCATCTCTTTCCTCAGGTACCCGAGCCCTTCCCGCCCTAGAGCCCAAGGGTCTTGAGGGCTTTTTTCACTTCCGCGACCCAGGCAAACCCACTGTGGAATGACTAGCCCTGCCGACCCCCTGCTTGGTACCGACGGCCCCATTCACAAAGCTGCAGCCGCAGTCCTTCGCGCGCGGCCCTTCATTGTTAGTCTGGTCTCTGTGCCCTGGACTTAGACTGAATCGGCGTAGGCAGCTTCGAGAAAGCCATCGCTGATTCGATTCCACAAGTGCCCATCGCCCTAGGCCAGAGAGGAGCGTGGCAATGGAACGCCTATCTGTGCCCACTGAGGTCACATCAGTCCGGGTATGCCGCCAGAAGCACCGCGAGACCCGCCGAGCTATACCCCAACCGCCCTAACGCAGGAACGCTCTGGACGTTATGCACGATGTCCTCAGTCCTCGATTTCGCCCAATCAAACGGTGATCTTTCATGCAGGCACGAAGCCTGTCTCTCTTCCTTCGCCCATCAGCATCAGATCTTTTCCCTCTCGCTCAGCCAGAAGCTGCAGTTCGTGTTTCAGATTCGAGGCGATACGGAAAGCCATGTGCCCATCACAGTCGTGCTGCCTTTCCCAAGCCTACGAGTACCCAACATTTTCTATCATATTGCAACCCTAAGGGCTCCTTCACCCGTGTGTTTCATGCTTCTTCTCATGGCGACCTTGCTACGCTAGGGCTGCCACGTTCTCGCTGGATCGAAATTCGATTCGCTACCAAATGCTAGTCCTGGTGGCTTAGCTATTCCTCCAAATTTGGATGCTCGGGAGAATCCAGAACCCAGCGGTATGCACGGGACAGCAGAACCCGCTGGACGGGGTCTTTTTCGCATTGCGTAGCTCCTAGCAGGGATGATTTTCAGTCGCTGGTGGCATGCATTATTTCGCTTTCAATTTTGGGTGGTAGAAACCCTCCAAAGACTTTGTGCGGAGGGAAGACATAGTGCTTCCGGGGAAATTGCACTCCACTTCGCTATCTTCTTATCGTCGATGGCGTCGGGCGGAAGAGCGTTGACCAGGCGTGTTAGTCTCGTTAACGTTTTATCAGTTCAGCTATTCCGTCTCGGGCAACCTCTTTCGCCTTCCATCAAGATCACGGGCGTCCAGGTTTTTGGTGGCTGCCGTTGAATCGACTGTTGTCGGTATAGCCTCGAGCTCGGGAATTCTGGCTGAAGTACCCCAGTAAATGTTCGCCTCTTGGACGAATGCAGCCATACCGGTCCAGTTACGGATGAGACCCTTCGGCATCTTTCGGGCTTCATGTGCAACGCTAGACCCAAGAGTCGGGCTTCGAAGTCTTCTAAAGTATTCCTCAGCCCGATGGGTCCAGTCTGCTCGAGGCGAGGGTGCGGTGCGGAAGCCGGCCGCCAACGCAAAGAGCACTACCCAATACTCACTTGAAGCTAGGACATCGTCGTCCGGGCCCGTCCTCCTCGAGCTCTAGGCCCAAGGCAGCCACATCATCCTTCTCTTGCACCCCATTCACCAAACTTCACAGTCGTAGACGAGGTGTGCCCAAGTCCAAAGTCAAATGGGCACTTTCCGTCCATTTTGATTTGATTCGATCAAAGCCTTTTATCATTGGTAGCACGGTACTTCGGTACGCAAGACAGTCTGAAGATCGATGGGAGAATGCCACCACTTGTCCCATATCCAGCAAAGAGCCCTTATTGCGGGACTTACCAGCTTCGACATCGAGAGCTCAACAAGTCTCGGCCGAAATTTTCTCAACCACCCTTGACCATGCGGACGCCAGATAAGTGATCTGCGAGTAAACGACAGATTGCAAGGTTTGGAGCTGTCCATCTCGGAGTACTCCGTGCCTTCCGGGCACATAGTGATGGTAGTCGTTGCCGATCTGGGCTCGATGACCAGAGAATCTACTCGTACAGGTACACAGTCGATGATCTCACCAATTGGAATAATGCTCGTCAGTGTCGGAGAGCGACTTGTTGGGTGTTTACCTTTACAGCCGCGTCGCTACGGGTAACTTCGATGAAGCCTCTTGACTCTGACTCGTAATCACCCTCGGAACAATGCTGTGACCCGGAAGAACCCGAGCAATCAAGCAAGATGATCTGGCCTTGATTAGAGCGAGTTTCGTCTTTGCGGCCGTGTTGCTAATGTGGCCTTCCGAGCCGACGCTGGGCAGCATGTCGGTACGAGGCTAGAGACTGCCGTCGACCCAACTGCGCGGGAGCAAGGTGTCCGTGGGTGTCCAAGATAATCTGTACCAAAGACTGGGTCCCGGCTTTGACGGAGCCATGGCCTTCATGAGGAAAACGTGCTCACTGCCTTATACCGACCTTGGTCCAGCAATCGGCTCGGGACCTTCCCCAGACGACCTGTACTCGTAAAACCTCTCAGTGGCGCGAGCTCCTCCACATTGGATCTTGAAGTCGATATCACAAAGGGGAGTGACATTCGACCCGAGGAGCATACGAGTAGACGGAGGGTTCACGCCAAATTCGGTACCCAGTCGTTCCGATGAACATACTTGTGCAAGGACCTCAGGCCAAGCAGGTCAGAGCCCGGGCCCGTTGCTGCTGTTTGATCAGAGCTTTTCCGAAAGGGACGGAAAGGAAGTGTTTGGCTGAAGACGTAGCGGGATTCCGTTGGTGTCGAATCAAATCGTGTGTGCCATTTCCGGAGCCTCGTCCGGCCAGGTTCCCTGTTCCCGCTCGCCTGTGTCACAATCGGGTGCTTGACCCTTTCTCAGCACATCCGTCTCATCACAGTGCAGGTCGCAGCCGATCACCTCACGGTAAGCTCTCCGAGCATGGTTTGAAAATCAATTCGAGGTGTCGGCGGGAGGTGACAGAAGAAACAAGTTGAGATGTGTCAGAAAAGCCCACACCATAGTGTTGGCATGTCATTTTCGGCTTCAGACTTTCAATATTGAGATCATGCTCGGGTTTGAAGCCGAGCAATCAGTCTCTTCCTATCAATTATACTGTGTTGTAGTTCATCACGAGCCATGACATATTCAAAACGCAACTGAGCGCGAAGTGAGTGTGTTGAGAAGGCGATTTTCCAAGCTTGCCAAGCGATTTTCAAGCTATCCCTAATTGGGCTAGCTCATTTTGTGTAGCTATCAACTGTTCAAAATTTCCATCCTCCTCAGTTTTCTCTTTTCCTTTCTTCGTGCGGCGCTGCCACTTTGAAATACCCCTGTGTTGCTTGGCCGATCCTTTTACAGTCATGACGAGTTCCAAGTGTCAGTGGCAGCACAGAGCAATTAATTGCAAGCCGATCTCCTCGACGGGTCTGATGAAGCTGCTTCGGCGGTTGATGAGTTGAGGCTCGTAGAGTGTTCCTGCGCTGGTTTATGCGTGGGGTCGGACAGATCTTTTCTATGGACACCAGTGACCGTGACACCTGCAATCGCTGGCGCCCAGCGTCCAGCATGCGAGATTCTTCGGACGCCCGAGGGCAAACGTTTCAAGGCGGGAGCGTTACGAGGCAGGTGTGTCAATCCGGTGGAAGGGATTATGCGCTTCTCTCGCACGGGAGCGTGCGAAGGGAGGAAAGCTGCCTTCCCGTTGAACATGTTCATCGCCTTAGTGGATGGCATAACCGTTGTTCTATGCCTCAGCGTGAGAAATGTAGTCTCGATGCTGAATCTATGGGCTTTTGTCTTCCGCCACACCTGTTCGATGCTCTATGATAACGTGTTGCCTAACCGCCATATGCAATCATCTCTCATGTCTCGTGTTCGATTCTGCAGTTCGTGGCCTAGTCGTCAGAGGCAATCTTCTCGATCTTCCCGTCTCTCTTCTCTCCTGTCTCTCCAATGACCCTTATGCGGTCAATTCTGACCTTCTCGTTGTCTCCTTCACTCTCAACGACGAAAAGAACGATGCTTGACACGTTTTGAAACTTGACTATGCGCAATTCGACCTTTGCCGTGCCCGTCTTGGGATCCCAGTCCTTCTCGGACAATGTGACCTCCTGCGCCGCCTGTGTGTCATCTGCTTCGTCGAAGCCAAGGATGCGAGGTCTGTTAGTGTAAATCTTGACCACCTTCGGTCGGCTTGGCTGTTCCTCGTCGTCTGTGTCTGTGGGCAAGGATGTCAGGTGTAGGGAGTGGATCTTGAGAGTGGACTGGAAAGGTAGGTAGACCATGAGCTGTTCGTCTGTGTCGCTTTCGACCCAGTCTGATGGTGCTTCGGCTTGACCTGCGAAACAGAGATATTAGCATGTCCCACCGCACCTCATTGATTTCGGCGGCTTACCTTTAGGTCTGTCGCTGCTGATTAATGCCCTCGCGTTTCCATGTGCAGAATCCCAGTTCAACAGCTCCAGACCCAAGACGTCAACTTGAGATGTAACGTCGACATAGCCTCTAGGTAATTCTGCACCCAGCCACGTGCTTCCGCTTGAACTCCCGGCAACTTCGCCTGTGTCCATCTTGTTGACCTCGTTGGCTAGATCTTTGACCACATTTGAAAGCCTCCTCGGGTCTGCGCCTTCGATGAACTCTACGCGGCGCGCATTCCTAAACACCATGAACGTAGGCATAGCCCTGACGCCATATGACCGTGAAAGGTCTTGTTGCTTATCCGTATCGATTTTTGCGAAGGTGATCTTGTTAGGTCGAGACAGCTGCGCCGAGAGTTGTTCGAAGATGGGGGCGATTTGCTTGCATGGACCGCACCAGTCGGCGTAGAAGTCGGCAACAACTATGGTGGAAGAGGATAGCAGAGCCGAGAACTGGTCGGTGGACTCGATGTGGACGGTCTTGGACATAGTGATGGCTCCTCACGCCGGGCGCAATGCCTGGTTTGAGGGCAGGACAGGATATGCACTACAAGAGACCGCGAAGTTCGCTGCAAGTTTGCCGCTTGATCGGTGAAGGCCACGGGAATGGGAATTTCCCGGTTTTGCGCGCCTGTAGATTGGTAGGTATGCAACAATGAAACCGCAGGTAAGCAGTTCAGATGCTCTGCTAGTTAAGTGCCAGGTATGATGCTGGTAAATGCTGATGTGAAGCGGCAGGAGGCCTCTGTTATTGGTCTTGGCCAGGGTTCCATTCAGCCCCTCACCAACTGAAGGCGTTGAGTGAGCGAATGCGATTGGCTGTCGTGGAAAAGAAGTTCCGTGCCGCGTTTTGGGCTTAATAAAGATTGTTCACGATGCTTGCTTCTCTGTCGCTTCACATCCCGCTGACCACGGCAACCTGTGCTGGCTGCCAGCATGGTCTTCCGTTATTTAAGCTTCAGCCGCACAAAGCTGTCTAGAGTAATTCAAATGCTCTCAACTCCTTGTGTTCGCCTAGTGCTGCGTCGTGATGCAGCTACCGTCATGGCTGAGCTGTTGCACACCTACTGGATTGATCCAACGGTTAGTTGATTGAGCCTACCTAAGCGACAGGCAGAGCTCCCTGCTCGATCGATGGGCAAATATGTCCTGTCTTCTCACAGGTGATGAAGCTTCATTTTCCACACTATGCCCACCCTTTTCGCGTGCTTCTGCTTTTGTGTCAAACTATTCTGGTGCCACTGATCTACAAATGTCAATGAGGCCATGGCAGGCGGTGACACAAACGTCTTCTTCGTACCATACAGGCCTCACTCCAAGTCGAACAAATCCCACTCCGTCCAGGAACCTGGATATCTCAGCGAAAGCACGCTGCTCGGGAGTATCACCGAGAGGCCAAGCTTGAACGGGTCGCTAAGCTCAGTGCCGTACATGACCGCCATGCACGAGGTACAAGCGCCCCAACCATGCAGCCTCAGTCAGAGTCATCTTCTCGACCTCTCTTGCCCCGAAACAAATTCTTTCAGGGCGAACAAGTCTACGACACCTCTTTGGTCACCTTCGACATAGGCACCGGATAGCTCGACCCCTTCAATGCCTGCGTTCCTGCCTACCTTTGCTCTTGACATTCTAGACTATGGTGACTATTCGGAAGCTTCAACATCCCTTCCATCCCTACTTGCTCATCATTACTGATTCAAGCGCCTCAGGTCTGCCTGTCTTTCCATCCAACATCGGACTCTGTCTGGCGCATTACCCGTTCGTACCCGAACACCTAGCCTCACTGACGACAATAACGGCAACGTCTGCTCAGTGGAAGATCTTCAGTTCGTCGAAAGGCGTCGGTGCCAAGGGTACTCTCAAAAATGCTGTCCTCACATGTGCCATGCAGTCTCACGCCGCATTCTGGTCCATTGTTTTTGCAGGTGCCACACACAACGCCTACCTTCAGCGTGGAACAGACGCTCGCAGCCGTGACATGACTTTACGCTTGTCCTGCAAGACTAATGCCATTCGGGGGCTGAGTCGCGAAATACAAGGATTACAAGGATTGGCTTCTGATGAGCTGCTGCTCGCTGTTATCACAATGGCGGCTCACGGTTCAGTCGAACAGTTGGATCCACCTCCACAGGAGGAAAATTTGAGCATCCTTGAGACTGTTCAAAACTTTCAGTACTTTGGCCGCATACGTTAGGAGGAAGCACATTTCAAAGCTATCGTTCATCTAATCCGTCAGCGAGGAGGATTGCAATCTGTAAGGATGCCTGGGTTAGCTGACGCTATCGGACTGTGCGCAGCTCCAACGAGGCATGATTCCTTCGCACCGGCCGAGCTCTAACGGTAGACAGAGCGGATGTTTTCTTCGCTTTCCAGAGTCTACGTCCGCCGGCCTTCCCTCTTCTTGCCCCTTCGAGCCTGATCATGTCCACGTGGCCTGAAGATCGAATTCCTCTAGCCTCGTCCTTTTCGAACATGACGACTGGCTTCGACGAAATCCGCCATCATCTCGGCTCCACACCTCTAATGCAGGTCATCACCCATGCGCGTATGATCACGATCGACTTCAACTCACATCGGTCCCAGCATTCTGGCGCTCCAATCATTACACGTATCGTATGGGCAGGGGACTTCATGACCCATGACCTGCTCTCTCTGCATTTGACAATGGCTATCACGCTTCCTGAGCATATCATGGGACAACAACCACATGGATCCTCAGCGTCTACCATCCTGCACATCTCCCCAGAGCAAGCGTTTTACAATCTCATACGCCTCGCAACGCTGACGTTCATACTTCTAATCCTCTTCCCCATGCCTCGTGTCACGGACTTGCGTGCCAGGCTATCCATGCAGCTCATGACGGCCCTCGATAACTGTAAAGCACTGGAGCTCTAGGCTACGCAGGCAAAGTTGCTCTTATGGGCCATTGTCCTCGGCGGCATCGCCTCCGAAGAATATGTCCCCCGGAAATGGTATGCCGCAATGATCCGACAGAACAGGACGACCATTGCAGATATGGCGTTGATTGACTCATCATGTCGTAAAAAGGGGAACGGCACAAGTCGCCAGCGTCGCCACAATTCCAGTCGCTCAGATTCAAGCGCAAGCAGTAAACGGGAAACAGCCGTGACATGGCAAGTAGTGAAGGACATGCTTTTCCGGTTTCTCTGGTTCGATGGACCTCAATGTGATGGTCTTGGTAGAGTGTTCCGGGACGAGGCTTGGGAGAATCTACCTTTGGGGACAACGAGTGATGGGGGGCGGGGCCGCTTCGCAGTCTTCATCTTGATCGAGAGACAATGGCAGGCTGCACACAGAGAGACTGCGATATCAACTTTGACTCGTTCCTTGGTAATTCGCGGGGTCAGATCTACGGTTCTCTCTTGTCTACGAAGTGTGATGATCAGACCAACCGGCTTGCACACTATAATCTATACAGGGGCGTGAGATCCTTTTATCTGCCGTGACAATCACCGTTCAAGGCGACATGGCCTGAATGCTCGAATTCGGTTTCCTTGGTGGCCATTCCCTGAAAGCGCTTTCAGAGCTTAGCACTCTCCTTGAAGACATAAAATGCCTGTCCGGATGCCATGTCAGCGGGTTGAATAACCTGTGAAGGAGGGCCACATAATTACCTCCTGCACCACGGTGGCGATCAACAGGCCCTGCCTGCTGAAAATCCTCGAGTTGATCATGGCCCGGCCATCTTTGGCCCACGGCGACGTCACCTCGATGTAGAGCAGCTCGTCGGCGCGGAACCCGCCATGCGTGTGAAAATGGATCGAGTGATTCAGACTCGTCATGATCTTCATGCTCGCCGGGAGTGCGGTCTTGGTCACGTCGCCGATGGGCCACAGGCCGTGGGGCACGCCGTGGATGGACAGCGGACAGTCCATGACATGGTAGTCGGACGCGTGCACCACTGCAAGGACATGGGCTGCCGCGCCTCTGGGAGCCGCTATGGGCGGATCGATCTGCGCCACCACGGGGGCTATCGTCGTGGCAGGATTCTTGGGATCTGGGGACCATTTAAACAAATAAACGTGTCAGTATCGAGCAGTGAGCAATAAACAGGGTTCCATGCTCTTTCCCTGTTTCTTCTCCATTGTGTGAAAACAAGCGAGTACTGTAGTAAGCAAGCAAGTAATGGCAACACACCTTGATGAACAAGCGGCAACCTCTCAAACTTCATGAACGGTCCCTTCTCCGTGCGCATGTCCTCGAAGTCATCGAGCGTGATCTTCCACCCGCTCCGCTCGCCGTGCCGTGCGATCTGCATGGGTACGGCGTGCGTCATGGCCCGGCCCGACCACGGCGCGTTATTCACGAACGACGTCGTCACGGCCACGAACACCTTGTCGGCTTGCTCGATGGTGACTTGTCTGACGGCGAATCGGCGGCCGTTCCCGATGCGTTGGACCTTGTATACTAGTGGGATGGCCGGGTTGGGAGCCAGCATGAAGTGCGTTTGGAGCGAGTCCAGCATGAAGCCTTCGGGGACGGTTTTCCATGCCGCGGACGCGGCTTGTGCCATCATCAGCGGGCCGGGCATTGTGTTGGTGATGTTGAAGAGCCAGGGAGTGTGGATCGCTGTGAACACGTCCTGGGGAGGTCATGGTGGTTTAGTGTGTGGGCAAGTGAGTGAGTGAGTGGGCATGAAGACGGATAGCACAGTACGGTAAGCCATGGCGTGGCATTCTGGGTTGGGGCACATTGGACGGAATGGGTGTGGATTGAAGAGGGACGTCGTCGCTTACTGGTGCCGTCTCCTTCAACTGCAGATGAGTCTCGAAATCGAGCCGTGCAGCGCTGGGCCTGGGGGGTTCGCTCGGACCCATTGTTATGGTTATGGTTGAGGTTGTTGATTCGGTCGTGTTGTACGTAATAGTTGTTAAGAGGGTGTCGGGCAAGCGCCAGCAGTCTGTTTCTGAATCTTATTCTACAGTGCCGAAGGTGTAGGCAGGCAGGCAGGCAGGTAGCAGAGTATTGAGTGTATGAGTTCACGCAACGAGACTCATGATGCCATGCCACGAGGTCGATATTTGCGCGCGCACGATCTGACGCTGTTGGTACCGAGAATGGTGTGGTCAGTGGGCTATGTCCTCGGGACCAGCTGACATGTAACTGATATGTAACTCAGGCCGGAGACAAATAACGTTATGGTATTTCGGCCTGATCAGCGAGCAAGCAATACGGTACGTACCAGATCCGAGATCTTATGGTGAGGTGGAAGTCCGAATACCAAGCACCAAGCTGCGGGGCCCGGGACTTGATTGTTTTTGTATACATTACATACTGGGCAATATACCGAGGTACATGTCGGAAATCCAGCCCGTTCGTATTCCTAACTGCTGGACACGATACGGCGAGATCGGCTGCGTACAGATGGAGGATGTGCCCGATGATGTCTGACTGTATATTCGACGTCGTCGAGTCTTGGTCTAAGTATATGTGAGCAGCACGCAGCAAGCATCACATCCTGCCAGCCGGTTTGATCACGTTGATGTGGGCAAATAAAATGCTTTTCTTTGCGTATTGCGCCTGTCCCGGCGACTGACGAAAACACTCAAATGTGGTGTACGAATTTGCTACGCGGCATGCCAGCTTAATTACCTCTACGACGACTAGGTGGAAACAGCGAGAGACAAAATTCTACAAGATTACCAGTACGAGTTGAATGCGATCAACAATCCCCGACCAAGCCTACTTCGTCGCTGGTTTCTGGCCCTGTCTGGCGCCAACAGGGGAGGCTGAAGAAAGCGTCTCGTAAATGGACAGCCCGAAGACTTCAACCTCCTCTTTTTCGAGGTGACATCGTATCTTCTGCCTCTTCGCGGACATGACGCCGCGACCACACCACTCGGTTTCTATTGGATGTTATGGCAGCTCGTCTTTCAGAGACTTGATCTCTGATGGTCCATGCAAGTTCCTAGCATCATGGTGGGTAGAGCGATGCAGGACTGACCGTACTCCAGCTTCAGGAACGGGCCAGGGATCCAGGAAACCGCGTGTGTGAAAGCTTGTGGTCCATCTACGGACTAGGGCCTTCGAAGGGAAATATGACACGAGGGGGTGACGGGCTGGATCTATTTTGACCAGCCCAAGAAAGCAGTAGTGCGCACTCGTCGTCCCGGGGCACAAAGGCGCCACTTCCGTGGTGGAAACAAGCGAGGAGTCAGGCTGATGGAGCTTGCCAACCGCGCCAAATCCTCCCAGCTTAGAGTGAAATTGGATGTAACGAAGGGCGAAACGCGTGTCTGCGGATTACCGATGTCGTGGAGCGTGCATAGCTACTGGTCGAAGCAGCTCGAGTGTGTCCTCAATGAAGACTCTGTAGGCCGTGCCTGGGCCGTGGAAATCATAAAGGTAGCTAGGCACTTAACGGAGACGCCTAAACAATTAACCATTGGCATGAACATATCAATCCAGTACCCCCCCCCCTGTTCCAGTCCCCGTGTACTCGTACACCGAGCCAAAACCACGTTGGGACCCCGCTATCACTGGTTGCTTTCTTTCCCGATGCCATCCGGCTGCGGGATTTCCGCCTCCGAGACCCAAAAGCTTTTATCTTCCCCTTTCCGTTGTTTGAGGGAGTCCGATCCCAGCGTCGGGTTGCTCGCGACATCTTCCACATCCTCGCCTGGTGGCCGTGACACGCGCCGGTTCATTTCATCCATCAGAACGTAGGTGTCTGGCTGGGTGTCCCCCCTCCTCCTCCCCTCGCTGCTTTGTGTCTTCTCGCGCAGTTTGAGCTTTAGTTGTCCGTAAATACTCGGCGTGTTGGCCACGAACGTGGAGATCACGCCCTGAACGGATGCCCAGAAACTTCGCGCAGGCTGGGCAGAGTTTGAGCCGTGGATGTAGGCGACACGGATACAAGTGATGATGATGCAGAAGCTGCCGAGGACGTACAGAAAGGCGATCCGGCATTTCTGCGACCATTTGTGGCCCCGTGTCCGGAGGACTGGGTAAGATATGGCGAGGAGGAGGAGGTCGATGATGATGTTGCAGATGCATTGGACGAAGAGCTGCACATATGCCTGGACACAGCTCCCGGGGTCGGGTTGGATCTGCCAGTATAGTCGGAAGGGGCGACATTCCAAGAATGTCGCAAAAACGACCGCAATATAGGACGCGCCGATCACCACCCACGTCACCCGTACGCAGAGTTTGACCCAGTGAATGTGTGCCAGGATTCGGGTATAGAAAAGAAGCAACAGGATGCATTGTAGCCAGTAGACAGTTGTGATCAGGAGCCTCGAAATCAGCGACAGGATGGTCCCCGTTTTGATCTGGTCGAGGTCGAGGCTTTCGTAGTGGATGGCTCCTGCCAGGAGGACGTCGTCTGCTGTGCCATATTCCAGCACATAGTTGCTGATGACGATCCTTGCAATAAGGATTGCGATTGAGGCCAGAACTACCCCTGTTGTAATGTCCAGGGCAGACTTCCGGTAGTGTTGTCCGCAGATGAATCTCACAAGCAGAATGACGATGGCAAGGCCGATGGACACCCAGTTGGCGGTTTTGGCCTCGTCGTTGGTGATTTGAGAGCGCATTGTCGTCTTTCCAGAATGCCCGGCTGGTGACTGAAAGGATAGGGAAGCGAGGCCTCCATCGTGGGCGCCCGCATTCTCTTTTGAGCCGGAGCGATGCGAGTGGACCCCCTTTCCCCAGATATTTTACCCCAGCTGTGGTGAAGTCGTTAGTCCCATCCTAGCTACCTAGATGCTAGCGAGGTTGAAACAAGAATGGCTCGCACGCTTGTGTTAAGCTTGGGCCCGTTACTCCTCAAGATGTTGGCTTGGGTGCTCCGTATACGAGGTGTCACACCAGACGGGTAGAGGGAGAGATCGCCTCAATCAGTCCGAGCGAGGCAATCTTTCTGGACCTTTGCCGCCGACATCATCGACCGCACTTGGGCCCCTGACGGGCTGAGCCCTGAAAATCGGACTTTCCATCCTCTTCCAGGAGCCGCTTTCGTTGTGGCTCGCGTGGTATGAATTCGGTCTCGGAGAAAACGAGACGTGAGTGTCGCGAGCATGGTGGGCAGAAATTACCAACTGGGGGCCGAGCGAGGAATGCTACCGTGGTCCGTGCGGCATAGATATTTCACCTAGCATGCACATGCTTGGGTTGCGACTCATTGACGCCCCTTAGCTCATCGTTGAAACCGGATGCTTGGAACTGCACGCTAAGTATCCCATGCAGGCTAAAGGGCACTGTCACACTGTCCCTGGTCAGCTTGAAGATGGGAATAGCACTGTAAAGTTCAACCTAGACCGTAGCGTTTCATTCTGGTGATCGGCTCGGGATTCCTGGGCACAGCAGCCAGACGAGGCTTTTCAGCTCAATGTGCTGCTCCGGGCTCTACCTGGTCGAGGAGTCCCTGTGCCACATTAACCTTCGCTGTTCGGTAACCAATCCAGGCAAACGAATTTGGAGCAATTAGATGCTCGGCGGAAACACGAGCCGTGGAACAACGGTCGCTGCACCACGCCTAGCCAGCCTTGGTAAAGACTAGCATGCGAGGAAGGATGAAGGGGTTTAGAACAGCCGTGGTTTGGTCTAAGATTTCTGTGGCGAGATTGTTGGGCGCCAAGTGCTGTCACCTATCTCACCTCGCTTGGCTGGTTTCCTCAGCCTTCCCTTCAGCTGTCTACCGGTGGCACGAAATCGTGCTCAGTTGAATGAAGGAACGCCTGGTTGGGCTGCGAAGCCGAACGCGATCGACCGCGGACAGTGATTCCTGCTGACTGCACTCCGCCTTTGATCCGTTGTTCTCCGTGCCTGATTGAATGCAAGCTGAGCGTAGTTGTGGGCATTCTAGCGAGTTCCTCAAGACAAGATCTTGCCGTTGGACAAGGAGAGTGCGGTGGGATTCTGGTCCTCATCATGGTTTTTGAGCTCTTCCCTATCGCTTGGCGAATTCATCTGGCGTTTCAGAAGCTTGGACTGCACCTCCAGAAGATTTGTTCTCCATCCCTGGATGTGCAGCTCATGAGCAATGCATGCTTGAAGTGGTTGCTAGTAAAGTTCTAGTCAGCGTGCGAGATATCTTGCCTCGACTCAGAGACCCGATCGTATTCTCAACTGCCTCCGGACAATATCCTATCGTTCGCGAATCAGCAGTAGCTCTAACAACGAATCTGATTGCACCCATCGTAACTCCAGGCCTGGGCATAGTGGAATCTGAAGCCGTGCTGATCCGAACGGCTTCGCACTTGGAGAACGAGGGATGTGACAAGGCTGAGGTTGACGCCACGCAAGGCTGAGGCTACGTCTTCTTCTCACTGCATCTACACAGTACGCACCCTAGTCCCAGAGACAACAGTTGAATTGAGCCACTCCGATCCCATTGCTACGACGCAACCATGCGCCTTCCGCAGACCTTGCTCCTCCTCGTCTCAGCTCTAGGCTCAACGGTGTCCGCAGCCTCATCATGGACGTTCGCAGATGGCTCGCTGAGCGTCACCAGTAAAGGCGCAGGCTCGAAAGACGGAGGAGTCAAAGAAAAGTACGTTGATATACACCAAGAAAATTAAAGCTGCCCAGCAGAGCGAACCTGCTCTGCTCTGCTCTGTCCTGTATTCCCTCGTTGGGCATTTGAGGCGTCGGGCCATACGGTGACAACCAGTCTCTTGAATCTGCCACTCACAGTCTCGCTACAGGCTCGTACCTTCTCAACAGCTCTCGAATGCCGTGTCGTTGGGCAGCGCCGATACCCTCAAAATTACATTTACCGCACAGGAGGGTAAGACGGCGAAGAGACCGCATCAGGCGTTTCTCTTGCTGCAAGATCAAGAGCGCAGACTCGATGTCTCGTACCCATTCAGCGTCAAGGAGAGCGGCAAGGCCGTCGTTTCACTGGTAAGTCGTGTTCCTCTAGACACGAAAGAGAAAGGAAGGAGAAGAGAAAATATGAAGGCGATGATGTGCGGCAGTCAGTCCAAACCACCGAATGATTCTGTGGTGGACACTCAGACATCTAAACCTTCACACTACTTCCCCAATCCATGCACCTACAGATGACTCGAACCAATGTACCTACTGCTGGACGTCTTGCTAACACGCATTTTTCTTCCTCCTCGCTCACAGACCCAACGCGACCTCCCTGCGCAGTTCCTCGCCGCGAACACATCGCTCACCACGTCTATCATCCTCGCCTCCTTCGGTGCCTCTACTCCCGGCTACAATCAAGCTGCCTTCACACTGCACCCTACGGCATCCGATCCAAGCACTCCCTTCCCAGCGACAGAGACGCCCCTCCGTTACGGCAAACTCCCTGAGATCCACCATATTTTCCGCTCCGACCCCAAGAGTCCCCCAGTAATCATATCATTGGTCTTCTTCGGTGGTGTGCTCGCCACGATACCTTTCCTAGTCGCAGTGGTATGTATTTGTTTGCTGCTCCGACATAGCTTTTTCTTCACGCCACGCCTTGCTAACACATCTTCCGCGACATTAGTGGCTCTACCTTGGCGCCAACATTTCTGCGCTTCCCTCGGCCCTCTCCGCCTCACCTGTAAGCCATACCTTGTTCGTCAGCTCGGTCGCGGGCATCGAATTCGTCTTCTTTCTCTACTATACGAGTTGGAATCTCTTCCAGACCCTCCCCGCGCTGGGCGCGTTGGGCGTGATCGCCTTCCTCAGCGGGAGTCGGGCTCTCAGCGAAGTACAGGAGCGAAGGCTAGGCGGGACGAGATGAGTGGGACGAGATGGGTAGAGAAGCCGGGCTTGAATGTAAAATGCGAAAAGCATGGAAACCGAAGGAGAGGCAGCAGTAGCGACTGAGACAGGCACGGCAGCGGCAGTAACATGCCCTTCTCGTCGAGGAGAGGAATCTGACCTGCTCAGTATCAGGACCATGTGTTCAGCCGAGTCTATCTCTCTTTCTCTTTCGCTTCGTTTTCGCCTCCGCCTCGGCCTCAGCCTCGGCCTCAGCCTATTGTCTGGAAGAGACACTCGACATGCCGATTACAGAGGAAGCATGGCTATTGCTGTGCGGTGCGGTGCGTCACAAAGACAATGGGTAGCATCGACAAGTATCGACAGACCTACTCGGAGATGCTCATCGATATACTCCGTATGTATGTACATAAGACAAGGTACAGAGTATGTACAACGACCGAACAGAGCATAATTAGAAGGGCCGTCCCGGATAGAAAGAGGGATGGGGTTCAGGATGGGCAATAAAAGTATAGAACATGCACAAGCTACGGTACCTAGGTAGTGTCGTGTCGTAGCGTGTCCTCCATACGTTTGAAAGATCCTACTCGATTGATCTTGAATCGTGCTAACTGTTGGTGATCTGGAGTCGAGAGACACGGTGCCTACGGAGTACCTATCTGTAGTACTTACGTAGCTACCTGCCTGCCTGCCAGCCACCCTGCACGCAGGCCGGGGAACTATACATTAAGGTGGGAAGTGCTTTCACATCACGGGTGTCATGTTGTACGGAGTACTGTGTATTGTGTACTGTGTAACCGGTTGACTAAGTGCCTAATTAGCAGCTGATTGAATGACTGACTGGCTGACTGAATGGCTGACTGGTTGACTGACTGACTGAATAACTGACTGACCGACTGGTTGTTTTGTTGGAGGGTTGGTTGGCTAATTGGCTGGCTAGACGACTGACCGGTCCACTCTAGACTGTGCCTTTAGTGAAGTATATCCTCGCTTTCGAGTATAGACTATAGAATACTTAAGAGTATAAAACCCCCGATACCGGATGGTATTATGCCCCATGCCATCCATCTTGGACGCGAAGCCACCCTTCAGCCATCGCGTCGGGGTTGGACCGAGTCACTCGCCGAGTTTCTCGCTGGGGAAGATGTGCGCATTCCCAAGGGAAGATACGGTAGGATCTGTTATGATGGGGGTATCAGACAGTTCGAGACAAAGACGAGACGAAATGAGACGATAGAATACGGTAGGATACGACAGGACGTGTTATGAGTTGGTACAAGTTGGTGTAAGGAGACGTGATGGGATGACACCCTGCGCTGGCCCTGTCCGTGGCTATATCGTGGTTCTTGGACCATTCCTTCCTTCCTTCTACCGTGTAGACGCCAACCACCAGTCGCCCAGCCAAGCGGTTGACCGTGTCTTCCTGTCCGACGCTCTTCATCCAGTCGCCCTGTCTTCTGTCTTCATGTCTAAACTTCTTCAGCCAACCACCTAGACTTCCTACCATCCTGTCTAACCTTCTCTATCTGAGCTGATATGGGTACCCTGGTATAAACACGGACACACTTTGCGGAACCAAGCACACCTTTCCCGTCCCATGAAACAGATATACATACCGCATACCGCATATGGTGTAGGGAGTAAGTTCGCACGGGGTTCTCCTAATGGTACAATACAGGCAGGCCACTTCGGTGGGCTCAACCGTCACTGCCACGGTCACTCAACAGTAAAGCTGATGATGCGAACGGGGAATAGTCAATGACGCCACAACGAGATAGTTCTCACCGCCGAATAACGCCGCGCGCTCAGTGCTTTCCGTCAAATCCTGGCATCGTCTCCAACCGATACTGCCCGCCTCCCTCAATTCGCATTGTCCCCCATGATTTGCCTCGCAATCTTACTCCTGGCCCTAATCTGCTCGCCCTTGAAAAGCAACACCCAAGGAACAAGCGTGAGCAAGGCGGCAATTCCGCCCAGTAGAGAACTCGCCGGCGCGTAATCGAGATTTGTGAACATCTGGTTCGTAAACAGAGGAAATACCGCCGCGAAGATGTTCCGCAAAAACGACTGTGCTGCCAGTGCTGAAGAGGCGTATCGATGGTAGACGTCGGCCAGGTAGTTGAACACGGCGAGGTAGATGACAAAGATGCCCATCTGCGCACATCCGATGGCGAGGACGGGTGAGATCCATGGAATAGACGAGTACGTCGTCCAGCCGAACCAGAAGAGGCCGATGGGAAGCAAGGCGCCTTCGAGACAGGGGAAATATAACCTGCCCTCGGGCGAGCTGTTGAGTTTCGGCCATCGTTTCTTCGCGAGCCTTTCTTGGTAGATGGAGAGCAGGGTCGCAAGTATTGATCCGATTGCTATTGCGGAAAAGACGGCGCCGCATTGCTCGACGTTGAAATTGTGTCGGCTCATGAAGACCAAGGGGATCACAGAGAAAGTCATGTAGAGAAGCGCCCAGGCAAAGGCGACCCAGAGCGAGAAGAAAAACACGACCGGTTCGGTGGTGAGGAGTTTGAAGGGAATTGTAAGGGAGAGGTAGAGCATGCGTGCTAGCGAGGAGCGGCTTTCGTCTGCGGCGACTTTGTAGCGGAGGCGGACTGGGCAATTGGCTTTCTCGCCGGTATTTTCAGACTTCGGAGTGCTGTTCTCAAGCTTCTCGAGATAGTCGTTCAACACCTTGGCTCGGCGGCTCAACAGGACCGATCCCCTGGTCTCCTTGAAGAAGAAGTATACCACAACCAGCATGATGCTCAACGAGATGATCTGGTGGTAGTAGACCCAGCGGAAATGGGCACGCCCGATGATGAAGCCAGACAGAAGGGGTCCTATCCCCGTGCCCGCCAAGGCGGAACCACTGTACAGTGCCATCGGTGTATTGCGGTCCTCGGCGTCATACATGTCGGAGACGACTCCTCCCACCATGGTCGCAAACGTGCTGGCTCCGGCTCCGACCAGGAATCGAGCAGCGAGCATCCCGCCAAAGGTAGGTGTCGTGGCACAGGCAATCTGACCCACGAGGAAGAGGATGGCCGACCCGATGAATACCGGCCGCCTCCCGTTGATTTCGCTAAAGGGCGCGAGGAACATAGGTGATACTGCGAAGCCGGTCGCCCACGTGGTGACGCCGGTATTGAAGGCGACTTCCCCGAGATGCCATTTCGCTCGTTGAGGATTCGCCGCTATCGAGTACGAGCCTGCGCTGTAGGCGGCAGTAAAGGTACACCAACAGCACAGTATCAGGATGATGGTCTTATGCTTCGACGACCACGTGAGCGGCGACTCGTACTTCTTGAGGTTGGGCGGAGGTATCGAAGATTGGATTGTGTCGAACTCATCGAGCGGGATGTGGGTGTCGAAGTCGAGGTAGTCATAGCGAATGCCGTCCTCGACCTGTGTGTCGGGACTGTCACTGCCGCGCTTGTGAGCGCCAGGTTCCAAGGCCGGGACTGGTTCTTCGTTGGATGCCAGGCTGCGGCCGGTATTAATCTTCTCAATGTCTCCCGACGTCGGCGACGTCGATGACATCAATTGCCGCTCGACGCGTTCGGCCATCTTGGCTGCTGTATTAGCTTCGGCGGTTGGCGTTCATCGCTTCGGCGCTGTCTTTGCTTATGACTCTCCAGCCGGAGACTAGAGTACGCAAGCAATTACAAACCAGCGACCATGAGCGAGCGTATGTGGAAAATGTCAAGGAAGAAAGAGGGGACAGTTAATTAGCCTCGTGGAGATCGATAGCCGGTGCGCATGCGTCTTGCCTCCAACATGATCGCCTCCTGCCGTGGCCCTCATCGCCTTGGACGCATAGTGACCGGATAGCGGCAACGGCAATGGCCCACCTAGGAGTACTCCTACTCGTACGTGACCAGACCACTCCTGATGCAATAGGGCGGGAGCGTCAAATGCAGTATTTAGTCCAGGTGTGATTGAAGCGGACAATCCTTGTTTCCCCTTGACCAGTCATCCTTTGTGAGAGCTCAGGCTTCGCGGACTGTTGACCGACAAGAACGCTTCGATTGACTCGATGAGATCTGTTTCTGGCTAGCTGAACTCCCTCTGCCCTGGATTTTCTTAGCGACGGCGAATAGCAGCGCCCGACGACCAGACAGTGGGGAGTCGCCCTGCTCGCTTCAACCTTTCGCCCGAGATCTCGCCGCAACCAACTTGATCTCATCTTCTACAAGAATGTCTCATACCTCCTTCGTACCTCGTACGAGCGCAGCGATGACATAATGACTCACCGTGCCTGAAATCCGGCGGGAAATTATTAATGCAGATCAGCCTTGCCAAAGCTGCCCTCCAACCGGTATACACCGTCCGGGGAGGTGACTGCAACTCCTTGAGCAGTATCCCAACGAGGCATGCAGAGCGACATAGTGGTCACGATCCACGGACAGAATGCACAGAGAAGAATGACTCCGAGGACGCTACGAGGAAATTAGCAACAAGCGGCATTTCGACTTCGCCATTTCTTACGGAATCTCTCTCTGCCCCATATCGCCCTTTAAAGCGGTCATGATTCTGCCTGGCCTCAGCCCGTACCAACATGGAATCCTCCTCCAGGCAATATCGCGAAATGCACTGGAAAGTCTTTACATCGAACGTCCGCGACATATGTTGTATATCCAAGCCTCATTGATTCGTACACAAATGCAATATGCTGATGCAGGTCGTGATCCGAAATAAGGATTGCCATATCGAGCCAGCCAGGTGATGTAAGATCAAAGTGTTATTACAAAGCATGATAGCCTAAGGCCGCAGCCGCTGCGACAGCAGCCCATCTGGGTAGCGACCTTGTACCCTTACTTTCAAGACTCACTGCCTGGAATATCGGCGTAGGATCGTATTCTCTCGGCCGCGTCGCATTAACAGTGCCGTCCCAGCAGAACCGGTCGAAGCACTGGGTGCAGGCCTGGGGTACCTCGGTGTTGGTGCGGTCCAGACTGCGGCTCAAAATCGCACATGCTACGCACGTGGGCCACGTCTCATCGCGGGTACCATTGCCCATGTTGGCCACGTTGAAGCCATTCGAGATAATGGCGTCACGTTGTGTATTATTCGTCGAGAATTGGAAGGTGGAAATATTGCTGAACGACACATACGGCGAGTTTGGCAGGTAGACGACCAACGGAGGAATGGTGTTGCCCCCCGTGAAATTCGATGCATCGCAGCCAAAGAACGTCGGCCGTGTATTAAGACCAAGGTTGACAAACGTGTTTACGTCCGGGACGGTGGGGAAAGCAGTGCCGTTCGCGATGTTGCTGATCGAACGCTCGTAGGTGGCAACCAGTGACGTTCCGTTGGGCCAGAAATAGGTGGTGTCGGCTGAAGAATCGACAGCGAAGATAATATCGACATTTCTGGTTGGCTGGATCAGGGGATGTAGGGGGATGTTCTGCAGGTCTTCACCGCCGTCGACGAGCGTCAGCCGAGTTGAATCAGCACCCGGGTTCGTTTCAGGATTGTACCGGAAGAAGGGGTTCGGGGTGTAATCCGCGATGTCGTTGTTATTGTCGTCGAGACCTTCTAAAAAGCCTCCGAGCAGATTTCGTAACGACTCCGGGATATCCGTGTTGTTGAGCTGGAGGATAAACTGGTTGAAGAGAGTAGACGAAGTGCCCATGAGATATCCCGCGTTGTCAAACCCAACCACACACCTGTCATCCGATGGTACGCGGCCGGCTGTGAAATTAGTACCCAGATGGTTCAGCGGGACGAAACCAAATGCGGTAGGATCCCATGTGCCCATCTCGAATGGATTAAATTCGAAGATGGTGGTGTTGGCTGAGATGAGTCTCTCGCCTGGGGCTCGGGAGTCCGCAATGATGATCGGATATGGAGTGTCTGCGCTGGTAAAGGGCTGCGAGATACCAATGGAAGACCAGGTGTAGGCAGGACCACCGCCAGTGGCATTTATCAACTGATAGGAGAGAGCGCGACCCCACAGGTCGGTCAGCGACGTGTCGAAGCCAGCGTCTGCTTTCCCATTGACATCGCTAACCAGATCTGCGTAGTATTCAGCGGTATTGAAGATCTGGAGACCGCTCTCCTCAGGGCCCTCAAACACACTGTTGCCAAATTCATAGACGGAGCCACTGCTTTGAGCCTGCAGGGCACCGATGGTCGTGAAGTTATTGATGTATATGGATCCGACAAGCCACGAGCCACCGCTCAACCCGGAGAGATATGTGGCCGATTGAAGAAGGCCACCAAGTTTGCCTTCGCCGGTGTTGTTGACTGTGCGGGAGTCGAACGCCTTGATTGCGCCCGCGCCATTCATGAGCGCTCGCCAGCCGCCGCCCGACACTGCAATGCCGATATTTGGTAGCGCGGAGGCATTGTTGGAATGAGTGTCAATGTATTGACCTGCGTCGAACCCTTCAATATCCAGGCGATTTAACAGATTCCGCAGGGGAGTCACAGTTTTATTTCTTCTCTGTTGCAGCCACTGGGTCTCATTTGGCGAGAGCGATGCGGCGCTTCTGACCACTGGCCGGGTGGCAGGGCAATTCTGGAAGGAGGGAGTGTAGCCTTGGGGCGAGTTTGGTAGGCTCCGACGAAGGTTTTCGACCGCGATCAAGGTGTCGACATAGACATTCTCGGCAGGAATGGCGTTTGCTGTAGCCCGTGTCAGTAGGTTGAGAATGCTGATCTTGCATTGAGGATGGCTTACCAGTTGCTTCAGCGGCGAGAACGCTGGCAATTGCGGCCACTAAAGGAATCTTCATGATGGTCGCGTGAGGAGGGTCTCAAAGACCAGGGTCGGTAACAGCATACGCACGGGTCAAGATATAATAGACCAACGAACTCATCCACTCGCCTCACCTGATCCGCGTCACCCAGATGGCTGTGCTATGCGGGATTTCATATCACTATATCGGTCGATAGGAGTATGCTTTCCGAAAAGCTGAGCGAGGCAGTTGTGCCAGGCGAGCTGAAGCCATTTCCACAATTTCCACCCAGGTGGGCCGAAACATAAAGACAAGATGATGTCAAGGCAAACGGGGTTGCATAGTGAACGAATCATGAATTCTCCAAGAGTCACTGCTTGCGACCTTGGGGGCCAGTTAAGGCAAACGGCCAAGGCAGAGACTGAGGCTTGGTCATCCGGTTGATCCGTAGACACAGCTATGCAATGCTCTGGTTCGGTACGAGTGATGGCATAAACGAAGAAATGTGATCGGACTGCCTGTCAGAGAAGGAAGCACGCGAACATCCTTCGTGCAGAGCCGAGTCGCAACAACTTCCAGGGGCGGCTGCATGTGCCGCCACAGCCAAATACGAGTTAGGCGAGCCCAGGTGCGAGCTGGGGCTTTGCTAGGGTTGCCGAAGGCGTCGATAGCCCCGAGAATAGACTTTATTTTAGCCTCTTCGGGCCTCCTCGTGGCTGACATCCAGACCTCAATGGGCGCAGGCAGTATTAAATTGTTCAGGATGTATTAATTAGGTAGGCATCATTCCGTACAGTCAACATTTTATGCACCCTGCACACCATTTCCAAAGGTACTCCCTTACGAGTACGAACTCGCGTACGCGAGCGCTGGAGCCACGTTATTCTCACTGCCTCCGCATTAACAATCCATCACCCGGTGCGTCATCTGCTCATCGATCGGCGTCCCCTCTCATTCTCGGTAGCTCACAATCTTACCAAAGGTGTCCGCCATGCCCCATATGCCTTGTCTCAGGCAAGTCAATTGCACAATCTGCGAGTGGTCGACGAACAAGTTGACATCGATGCCAAACTCGCGGACATACCAATTGAACACAGGCGGATCCGCTGCCTCGAACATGACCTTCTCTTGGGGTAGGTCTCGCAGAATGGCCTGGATCACATCTGTCCGCCAGCTCTTCACGTTCTCGGTGATGCCCTCGCTCTCAATCATCATCCTTTCCACTCCAGCCTCGATGAACTTTTTGCCAAGGTTGATGACTTTGGCCGGGTCAGAGGTCCCTGTCGACTCCAAGTCCTCCGCCGATGTATCACCTCCGGCGCCGAATTGGATGCCGAGTTCTGGTTTTGCCTTCATCCCCATACTATGTACCTTGTCGACCAAGCGTAGCCAGTCATCGGGCGGGAATGACAAGAATCCCGAAGATATTTCGATCACATCGAAGCCCAGATCCTTGCATTTGCGGAGATATTTCTCTACCATGGTATTCGAATCAGGTTGAGTCAACACATGTTCCATCCAACCACCTGTTGAAACGTACACCTGATGCTCGTGGGCTAGGTCAATGAGCTCCCGGACGCTCTGCTCAGGCATCAACGAAAAGCTGCCCCCCGCAAATTTGAGGCCGTCGACATGGTAGCCCATCGTCTCCAGGACATCTTGGAGGTGTCTCTTCCCGTATGACGAGTAGTAGGGTCCTCGAATTTCCGTCACGCCCTTGGTCCGAGGCTTCGGTGTCCTCGGATTGTGTCTTATGAAACCAAACCCACTCTCTTTGTCCTGCAGGAGTGTTTGGACTTGATTCTTGACAGGGGTGGTGGACAGGAAGCGGTGCAGGCGTGGGACTTGAGTTCCGATTGTTGGTCTGGCTGCTTTACCGAGCAGACTGACTGCAGCTTTTGTTGCCATGGTGTGAGGACAATGTGCCTTTAGTCGCGATGTACCGCAGGGTCACGGACACTGTCTTACATGCTGCTAGAGCTCGAAAAGTGACCAGACGGGTTGACCTGTTTATCAGATAAGTCCCAGAGGGCTGACGGAGTATCCAAGTTGTGTGACATCATGGGCTGTGGATCTGCATTGTCGCTAGGAATTTGCCGTGCAGCAAGGGCCCTGATACCGCCTGTGCGTTCACGAGTATTGGGTGCTATAAGAAGATAGCGAGGTGATAGCTGGGCACTCTGTAGATCACAAAAGAAGTGCCCCCGCCTCTTGGGCCTGGTTCTTCGGAGTTTGATATCCGGATGACGTAAACCCTTACACCCGACGTGTCCAGTAGAATCAAGTCCTCAACTCATCCTCACCGACCGTGTATCCGCTTGCAACACCGGTCCTGCCCTCTTCGATAAGGCCGCCTGTTTGAGCCTCGACTTCCTCATATTTGACATCGAAGTCGCTGCCTAAGCCACGCCAAGAGCGCTTCTGGGCGAGATAGTCGGCCCCGGGGGAGGCGATGCCGTTGACGCTGATCAGAGCGCCCTTTGATTTCTTGGTGAGTGCAGTGGAACTTTGTGCGGGGGGCTGAACGGCAGGTCGGATTCTTTGCACCGGTCGTGGACGTGAGACGTATCGCCCAGTTCGGAGGTCAAATTCGGGTGGTTCATCCTCCGACTCGGAATCCATATCAATCTCGCCATCGCGAATGATGTCGGCTTCAGGTTCCAGTGGCCCACTCTGCTGTTCCAATACTCCTGCGCGCTCTTGCCCACTCCTGCTCTGGGCCTCTTCCAGCACACGCTGAAAATCTGCTCTCCACTCGCCTGTCCAGACTCTGGCTTCGTCTCCTACCAACACCATCCCCAATTCGGCCGGAGTGACTACCGGCCGGAAGAAATCTCTGCTATCCACAAGCGAACTCTCCCAGCAGCCGATGACGACCCATCCGCCAATCTCGGAGAAGTTTGCTAGCTTGGCCGGGTTGAGTTTGCCAACCACGAAGAGATAGGACTTCTTGCCGGCGCGGGAGATCAACGACTGGATATGTGACAGGATGGAGAGGTAGTTCTTGACCGAAAGAGTATTGATTAAGATGCCCCATGCGGAAACGGTGGTGAGTGATGTGATGAGTGCGTAACGGCGGCGTAGCAGTTGGGCGGTGGACGTTTCCAGGCTGACGGATGATATCGAAGCTGGAGTCGAGGAGCTAGGCATACTGCCGGTTGGGTAGATCCTGATACTTGCCATTCGAGAATGGAGCGTCAGGAGAAGCGAAGTTGGCGGGTCAGAGATATGGAAGAGACTCCATTCTGAGAGAGATGACGGGTCTCCAGAAACTGAACTCGGCACTGTGCGATTTGGAATTGCCGAGGACGGGTCGTGGACAATCGAAGCCGCATATAGATTCGTATAGCCGCTTTGCTCGAGATCCTTGAACAGTGGCTGCACATGAGCGGCAAACGGAACGTCAGCTGTCAAGACCACCTTGGCAGCTAGGTCTGGGAACGCCGCCTGGAATGAATTGACCACGTCACTTCGGTCCAGATCCATAGTAGTGTAGATATGCAGAACGGGAAGCCTTGCGGTGGGAGACAAGCAAGCTCTGCCGTAGTGGACCACTGCATCGGCGTCGACATGCTCGGCTGCGATCTCATCAACGCAGCATGAGCCATAAGACGTGTCGCCCAAGATGGTGAGTTTGACAGGCTTTGCGTCTTCCATTGACAGTTCGGATAATAAGCCTTCATTGGCATTCAGCGGACCCTGAGAGGTGCCATTCTGATCTGGGATGGCTGGCCTCGCGTTTTCTGACAACCCACGGGTCAACAGCTGGTAGACTCGTGCAGAGTGTGGCAGCATCTGATCGGGGAATTGCAGTGCCACACGCTTCCACTTCCGCTGCCTGATCTCGTCAACCGTCCTGCTTATTTCATATCTCGTCTTTATCTGCTCGTCGGACAGAGCCTCGGGCAGATCTTGTGCCGAGTCTAAAGTCTCGGTCAATATATGCGTGTCCGGCGTAGATAGAATGGGCGGTGCCGTGAGTTCTTCAGCCATGGTTGCGCGCGAAAGACCGGGCTAGTCTCTTCCGATAGATGTAGAGCTTCCGTATACGTTCGCCTAGGGATAGGTCACCGTAACAGCTACAGGAAACAGGAGAATGAAAACCTTTACAAGGCGAAGATGGTTAAGGGCTCGCGATTGTGGCGATCGCCGCTTTTTCAAGTCCTTGGCTTGGCAGGGGCGACGAGGCTGGCAGCCTCGCCGTTTACTCACGCACATACTCCGCACATCCATGGCTGTTGGGTGCCGCTGACTGTTTCCTTCACTTTGAGCGCGTTGCGGATTACGGTACGCGCTCAGTGACCGTGATTCCCAGGTCAAAGCTGGTATCGAAAGTAGACACTCTCATCACCAACTCCGACATCCTCCTTGCCCTCCAGCACCAACTTCCCCCTACGTGCATTCTTCGACCTCAGGAGCCACCACAGAGTCATCACCCCAATACAACCCAGTCCACAGCAGGATATGGCAATGGCCTGCCCAGTTCGATATCGCGGACTCTCTCTGTCCAGAATGATTTGTCCGCCAATCATCAAGCCGATGTTGCTGATCGTTTGACTGAATGCGAGTGCCGCTGCACGCTTGTACCGTGGCCCGATATATCCGTTGAGCCAGGCAATTTTCAGCAAGAGGAGAACATTGCCGAAACCCACGATCAGAAAACAAGCGAATACTTCACTCCTGCAGGAGTCTTCCAAGCGAGAAGGATCGCGTAGCCGGCGATGGTGAAAAGAGAGAAAAACAGCATGATCGGCGCCCGGCGCTGGGTACGATCCGCTAACCAGGCATAGAAGAACACATCACCGTAGCAAAGAGGTAGACTGGAATGGTAAGGTACTGCGTCTGCAGGGAACCGTAGCCAAGACGGGTGAGGATAGTCGGGAGGAAGATTGACAAGGGATGGTAGTAGACACCGGCGCAGAGTTGGATGAAACCAGACAACCAGCAAATCAGGGGTTTCAGGGCCACCACGACCTGGGACCATCTCAACGGGACGTCCTTGTCTTGGCTTTCGATTCGGAATCGGGCGAGGAATTGGGCGAGGCGCTTTTCATCCGGGTTGAGAAAGCGTGCTGTTTCTGGAGCGTTTGGAAATAGAAACGAGTTTGCGCATGCCAAACAGGATGAGATGGCGCCTTCGACGAAGAAGGTCCACCTCCACCCAGCGTAGCCGGGGACGCCATCGATCTGCGTCAGGACCCACGCGAAGCGGCCGCCGAAGGCACCGGAGAGAGTTACTGCAATATAAACCGCAGCCGCGCGTTTTGAATCTTTCCGCTTCTAGAAGAGGGAGATGTAGTAGTTGAGGACTGCGAATGAGGCCGCTTCTGTCACGCCAAGGCAAATTCGGCAAGCTATTAGCGAGCCAGCGTTGCTCATAAAGCCTCAGAATGCTGTGACGAGGGAGGTCGAAAGCAGTATGCATGAGACAATTGCAGGAGGAAGCTATCAGCTAGCCGCTTCGTTCGCCGGATGCGTATGACGTACTTAAATTGGAAGGCCCCAGTGGCATGACAGGTAGTGTGATGGGTATCTCGAAGAAGATAAAGGTGGCATAGAAGATGGAGACCGCCCCTCAAGACATCATTAGTATGTATGAAATAATGATCAACGGGACAATGTACAAGTCCAGCTTTCGTATCAGGGCGTTTTCTGCTTGAGACTCCTTGGCATCGAGGGTACCGACTTCATCGTTAGGAGACGGCGCCATAGGTTTGACTTCTTTCTCAGCAGAGTTCAGAGCCGGCATGTTGTCGGTGTATGGCGATGTTCTAGTAGCTCGTCAAACAGGGTCGGCTTGGAAAGGAGATCCCAGAGCTGCATTAGATATACATGCAAGGGACACGGTAACCGGGCAGTCACCAGGAAATGCAACCTGCAATGTGAGAGTGCAACTGTGAATTCCCGCTCAAGCGGCATTCACTTCCAGTGCCTCACCAGAAACCCGGTCACATGGCACATCTATCCATTCACTCACGATGACTTCGTTGTCTATCCGACGGCTGACGCTATCAGGTACACCGCCAAAGATGTACCTGTACCCGTATGGGCATACAGTATATGACCGCATCCGTAGTTACTTGCAGCAAAGGACTGAGCGGTGCTGCTTCGTCGAGGAATGTCGCTTCCAGAGCAATCTTTATCTCTCCCCTAGGTGGTTTTTTTCCTTTCTGATATTTCTTCGTTGCTGAGCGTTTCCTGATTCCACGTCTTTTGTAGCAGGGGCCACAACGAAAGCTTCTGCATTCGACGCGTCGCGCGTAGGTAATTAACGGAGCTGGAAACTTCCATAGCGAAGCTGCGCGAAGTGCAATCCAGGAGCTCTGCGATCGTCCTGGGGGTGTCTACGATGCGGGGTCCTTCAGGCTCATCGAATGCTGGGCGGCTTCCACACTGTTGCGAATGTCCATCGAGCAGGACGTGCTTCAGGGAAAGTCAAAGAAGCAACCGAGTTTGTGCAAAAGCGAGGTCTTGGTGCTTAGTCATCGGCAAACGCGTTGGCGCCTCAGTCACGTGGGAGCCGAGCTTGCTTTGCCTGTTGCGCCGCCGAATTCCTCCCCGTCGTTCTTCATCAAAGCTCGTCCATTGTCAACCATGTCTGTCCTACTAGAGATGTATCATGCTATCCAAGCATGCATCGGCATGGTCGCGGCATTGCTATCAGCCATGGCGATCTACAATCTCAATCAATGGGAGCCACAAGCCGAAACTGCGTCACGATATTCGAACATGGCTTCTCAACAGCTTCACAAGACTAGAACGACACAAGCCAGCGGTGCATTAGCCGTGAGTTTTCTGGCTTGTACCCATCAGTCAAGCTGCTAATCCTGGCAGACCTTGCTGTCTCTTGTGTCATCTGTGATATGTGTCGTGGCCGTTTCATCTGGAGCGAACACTACTCCCTTTCTGCTGAGTGCCGCAAACAGCGGCGGCCTTTTCCTGGCATACTCCCACATTGGAAACTTCTGGCGCGAAAAAGGCAAAGTACCTTTCTCGCGGACCTACAATGATGGTGTCAGATCTTCGCAGCAATTGCTGCAGGTTCTTGGCGTACTGGGTGTCAGCTGGGCGACGGCGACGGCGATATACCTTTTCAGGGCGATAGCGTATTGAGGCAGCGAAGGTCAAGCGGCGAGGCTTGGTCAGCCCGTATTGAGCTGCTCTTCACCCTCCAAGCCTTCGGATAAAGTCTCTGATCCAGCATCTGGCTAGGCTCCTCCAGGTGGTGGGGTTGCGCGAGTCTCGGTGCATTTCCCGGCATTGCCCCACGATGATTGACGAGCCAGCAAAATCCCTCTTCCGATGCTGCGTCTTTCATTCCGCTCTCTCGCTCATTCAAAGAACAGACTGCGGGGTCTCCTGTCTTCGAGATTCATCACATCTAAACTTCAGTCTGCTGATTCCTAGCTCTTGTCACATCAGACTGAAGCTACAGCCATCCTCTCCGACACGCCAAACGAACCAGATCCTCCCTCAATATGGACCCCTTCGAGTACAATGCCAACCCTGGCCGTGTGGTCTTTGGGAAAGGCAGTATCCAGAAACTCCCAGATGAGATTAGACGTCTCGGTTTCTCATCACCGCTCATCCTCTCCACACCCCAGCAAGTCAGTCAAGCAGAAGACCTTGCGAAGATCTTGACAAATGCATCGATCGAGCCGGCTGGCATCTACACCAATGCCACAATGCATACTCCTTCACACATCACCGAAGAAGCTATGGCGTTCATCCAAGACAAGTCTGCAGACTGTGTCGTCTCAATAGGTGGAGGGTCAACAACAGGTCTCGGCAAGGCAATCTCGGTCCGCACCGGTTTATATCACATCTGCGTTCCGACGACATATGCCGGCAGTGAAATGACACCAATCCTGGGTGAGACGCAAGATGGCCGCAAGACCACACGCACAGACCCCAAGATTCTTCCCGGCACAGTCATCTACGACGTGGACTACACCATGACCCTGCCTACAGGCCTTAGCGCCACATCTGGTGTCAACGCAATCGCCCACGCCGTCGAAGCCCTCTACGCAAAGAACAAGAACCCTATCATCTCCCTCCTCGCTCTGGAAGGCACGAAAGCCCTTGCTGAGTCCCTGCCAGAAATCATCCAGGACTCCAAGTCTCAGCCAGCGCGTGAGAAGGCACAATACGGCGCGTGGCTCTGCGGTGTCTGCCTTGGCTCATCCGCGATGGCTCTACACCACAAGCTGTGCCACACGCTCGGCGGCTCCTTCAACCTCCCCCACGCGGAAACCCACACCATCGTTCTTCCTCACGCCCTCTCGTACAATGCACCCGCCATACCCGAAGCAATGGAGAAGCTCGCCTCGGTCTTACCTGGAAGCGAGGGTGACGCCACCAAAGGCTTGAACGTGCTTCTGGAGAAACTGCAGGTGAAGAGAGCACTGAAGGACTATGGCATGAAGGAAGAGGACATCGACAAGGCGGCAGAGATTGCTGTCAGCAACCAGTATCCCAACCCGAGAAAAGTGGAGAAAGAGCCTATCCGCGAGCTGATCAGGCGAGCATGGGCTGGCGAGCCGGCTAGGGCGGATTTATAGAGACAAGACTTGCTTCCGTCTTCCCAGGTCGCGGCAATGTTAGCGCGAAGTGGATAGAATACTGGCCTGACTCGTCGTGCGTCCACGTTTCGGAATCATTCCAGGGTGAAAAGCACATCTCAAATCACCGACCTCGTTTCCGTTCGGAACGTTCCATGCTCTGACATATCTCTCCATGTGCAGACCACTCCCTTCGCAAGCCCCGTTCTATAATGCCACGCCCCACAACATTTGTACAGAGGTCGCTGTCTATCCGTCGCTCAAAGTCCCAGGACCAAAATCTAGCATCTTGCTCCATCGGAATACAAACTCTATATCTCCCGTTTCAATCAGTCCTGCTCCAGAAGTCCACAATCGTCCTCACCACTTGCTCTGCCTTGGAGACGGGAACCTCGTGTCCAGCGTCGAAACTGACGAACTCGACGTTCCCACCCAGCACGTCGTTCGCGTCCTCCTCCACCTCCTTCTGGATGATGATGGGATCATTCCTCCCCAGCACAATCAACACCTTCTTGTTTGTCCCATTGACCTGATTCTGCCGCGCGAGGTGTTGGCCGAAAATCCGCCACCGGTCATGTTGATACCGCACAGGCCCATACCGGATGCTCGACATGAACGCGTGCACAAACCCCGGGTAATTGTCCAGTTGGTACAGGACCGCCTTCTCCACCGTGACGTGGGGCCGCGTCTTCGAGAGCACCGCGCGACTATTCGACTCGAGATTGACTTTGCCCACCTCGGCCGCCGCCGCCTCGGTGGCACCAACGGTCTTGCTCGCATCCTCGTTCGGAGACGGCGTGGTGGTCGTCCGCAGCGGCTGAGCCATCGGACTGCGCAGCCGGCGGCGGACCACGCGTTCAAGCAAGCCCTCCGGGATGATCCCCTCCGAGTAGATGATGTGGCTGGTCTTGCTGATGTGGTAGGGCCGCAGGATCCCTGCCGGCGCGAACAGGATCAGACTATCGATCAGGTCCGGGAAATAGCTGGCGAACGTCGTCGCGATGCCGCCGCCCAGACTATATCCCACGAGGCTGAACTTGGCGGAGCGGTTGTGCCCTGTCCACGACAAGGGCGACGAAGCGAGCACCAGCAGGATCTGCGTCGTGAACAGCCGTATGTCGTGCGCGAGGTCGCCGGGCGTGTCGGAATATCCACGCCCGAAGAGGTCGAAGAGCATGACTCGGCAGCCGTTGTCCACCAGTCCGTGGGCCACGCCGCCCAGTGCGATCGCCGGCGTGCTGATGCCGTGGATGAGGAGCACCTTGCGGCCGTCTTCGGGGCCGAATTCGTAGACTCGGATCGAGCCGTAGGGCGTGTCGACGTCGCGCGCGCCGGGGAGGACGTCCGGCGGGTAGGGCAGGTCGGAGATCTCCTCCTTGGATAGTTTTGGGAGGAGCGTCGTTCGGGGGGACCGGATGGTCGATGCTCGCTTCTTGTTCCATAGTCCGCCGGCCAGGACGCCGATGGAGAAGAGCGCGCTTCCTGTCACGAGGATGGGCCAGTGTATGGAGATTGGGTTGAGAGAGGATGCTGGCGCCATGGTGATGGTGGCGAGGGTGAGTCTCTATGTACTGTACTGTGCTGTGCTGTGCAGTGCTTTGAGCCAGAGAGTCGGCGGCCCAGGACGGCGGGTCACGGTCAGCAAGAACCGGTACGGTGTACGGCGTGGAAAGGCTTTGACTAAGGTATTTATCTCGCCCTCTAGCACAGCACGATCCGATATCGCGCGCTGTTCCGGAGCTGACGAATCAGCGACTTGCCTCGGCTACACGTTGAGACGCAGCCTTGTCGGGTCAAGACTAGCCCTTTTCGTAACGAGCCTCAGCCTTGCTGCTTGAGACTGATTACTGGTGAGGAGCCGGTCAGGCTCCTCGGGCCCCCCGGTACATTTGTTTCCTTCGTGTCACCCGGGTCGAACATCTCTCGTTGACCGGAAATTATCTCTGTACAGACAATGATAACGTCCCCAATCGAAGCCTCGATTGCCCTTCCCTTTTGTCTTGGATATCATGGGTATCATTTACAGCCGTCCGCCAACGCCCTTGCTTGTCGGGAAGAATCGTCGACATAGATCTCACAAGGAGAAATCGAGCGCCTTCCCTCCAGATTTATCCTTGCCCTTGTTTCTCTTTCGCTTCTTGCGTTTCTGCTTCGCATGATCCTCCTCGTCACTGCTTTGGTCAGGAGCGGAATTATCAATATCATCGTTAGAAGACAAGTCGTGTTTTGTTGAAGCCCCTCTTCCACCGCCAGGCAGTCCCTTGGCCTCAGTCCATACTTTGACGGTTTGCCCTCCACTGGTAATCATTCGGCCTTCGATATCAAATCCGACAGCAGCGACACCGTCGAGATCGTCATGTTTGGCATCCAAGTCGAGGAGAACTCGATTTCGACCAATCCTCATGAATCGGACTCTTCCATCCTCAAGGCCGGCCGCAACAAGCTTTTCATTCATCTTCAACTTGCCGCCTCCAAAGCCAAAGGGTACTTCAGCAAGAGAATCCACACTGAGGCCACTCCGGTCAAGCACAATTCGCTCGTCCAAGTCGCCCCATACACCTCTCTCCCACAAGCTGACCACTCCGTCACTTTGGCCAACCAGGATTTTTTCACCGACGCTCGTGCCGCCCTTCTTAAGGCCCTGCACCATAGCCACACTCGTTAGCTCGATCTCCTGGTCTTCACTTGTCGCGATTGTGCCCTTGCGAAGATCTGTGACTGCAAGTGTGGTTCCTCCGACGCTGACCCATTGCTTGGGGAAGCCGCTTGTGCTGGTCTCGCTTGCTGGTAGAGGGACGAGCGAGTTGATATGTTCCGCGCCGTGTGGTGTCCATGTCTGGCTTACGCTTGCCTGCATCTCTTTCCCCCTTTGTCGTAGATCTTGCAGGTAAAGCTGCCCCGCGTCCGTGCCCAGTAGCAGTGCCTGCGGAGAAAGAGCATGCAGGACAGTCGGCCCATTGATCTCCCCTCCGGCCCTAGTCTTCTCTGGTATAGCAATCTTGCTCACGACCTTGCCAGTCTCTGTCAGAAATGCTTTTACAAGCCCGTCCGTGCCTGCTGAGTAGCATATCTCTCCATCATGACTGAACGCCAGACATCGACATGAGCCCTTGTGTCTTCTTGTTGTCCATATCGTATCGATGGAGCCTAGTCCACTCTCTGAGAGGCTTGTTGAGGAAGCTCTACGCAGCGAAGGTATGATCGAGCCATTGACCAGGGTGTCGTTCTTCGGAGGAGAGGCAGAGTCGTGCCCAGAGTCGTCCTCGATCACGTCCGCGTCGGAGGGGAGCTTGTAGGCGTACACATGTCCCGAAGACAGGCCGATGGTGAACAAAGGCTGAGTCGGGTGGACCACTTGAGCGAAGACGTCCGAGGGAAGAGGGAGTGTGCAGATCGTGTCAAACATGACGAGGAATCAAGGCACTGGCATAATTTGAGCCGTCTCGAACCGGTTGCCAGTGATTCGCGAGGCTTGCACAAGGCTGATCGAAAGAATAGTAGGTACAGTAAGAGGTAAGAGTAAGCTGCGGCTAAGGCGGCCACCCGCAGATCTGATCCAGTACTGTAACTAGTGCCGGAGCTTCTGCTTAACTCGGCCCTGAAGGGAATTTTTCCGGGCGCTCTAGGGCTGCTTACCGCTTTCACCAGGCAACCTGCTCCTGTTCGTGGGCACGCCAACAAGCTCAACGGTGGAGGCTGCTTACCTGAATAGCCAATTACTTGACAGATCGCCAGTTGTCCTCCAAAGAGCGTATCCAGGCACATATTAGTATTTCTTTTGTGTTTGTGTTCTGTGATCATGGACCGGCGTTAAAGCGACAGTTTTCTCCATGGTCCAGTGACACCTTGAAGACGTGTCTTCTCTGGAGGGTAGGCGTTTTCCCACGTTTCTACAGCACCAACACTTGGGTATATCCATCCCTCGTCACGTCTGGGTTATGACCCGGCCATTTCTAAAGCCTCCTACACTACCACGATGACTTCAGCGGACAATATCGAAGGAGGTACCGCTGTTCGAGTCGATGAGACAACCGCCTTACTTGCGCCCTCACCCAAGCAACCGGCGTCTCGCGAGAATGGCGGCGAGAGTCAGACCTCCAGTGGTGGCACCGACACAGCCGAAGACAAGCCATTGCCCAGGGACCAGATCCTATACCTCTGCTTTGCGCGCTTCGTCGAGCCAGTTGCATTCTTCTGCATATTTCCCTTCGTTAACCAGATGATTTGGGAGACTGGGGAGGTGGCCGAGACGGATGTCGGGTTCTACAGTGGGCTGATTGTAAGCATCATATGCCTCATGTCATTCGAGTTGTACAGCTGATGGATGGCCTCAAGGAGTCGTTATTCTCGTTAACACAAATGTGTCTCATGATTCTCTGGGGGAAAGCGGCCGATCACTTCGGAAGAAAACCAGTCCTGGTCAGTTCGCTGGCGGGCGTCGCAGTCGCAACAGCCACCTTCGGGCTCAGCAGGACAATATGGCAGATGATCGTGTTCAGATGTTTCGCTGGCATCTTTGCTGGGACAGTTCTGTGAGTCGTCCCCATTCTGAAGTATTCAAGCATGGTGATCAGTATCTGACGGCCAAGATAGGACAATCCGCACAATGATCACCGAAAATAGCACACCGCAAACGCAAGCGAGAGCTTTTAGTTTCTTCGCCTTTACGGGCAACCTAGGTATCTTCCTGGGTCCGGCTATCGGTACGTCATCTACCGCCTCGATTTCACTCAGTGATGACTGACAGATCAACAGGAGGCGCATTGGCCAAACCTGCAACCGTATATCCATCTGTCTTTGGGAAGATCAAGTTCTTCTGGGACTATCCATACGCGCTGCCCACATTTGTGACAGGCGCGATAGGCGCGATCGCAACAATCACGAGTGCGTTCGGGCTCAAAGAGGCAAGTCTGTCACGCTCTGTTTCAACATACTCGAGGCTGATCATGTCCTTCCGGACAGACACTTGTGAAAAAGGGCAACGCGACCGGGTCCGGTCCGCCTAAGAAGATGTCCATGCTTGAGCTCCTGCGATCACCGAACGTTACAATAACGCTATTTATATACGCTTATATCATGATCCTCGCCTTCAGCTATACAGCCATTGTAAGTTATACTGGCCCTCGAGCCACATGGCCACCATGGGGAGAACTTGATGCACCATCCGGGCTCCGTGTCGGCAAGCACTAAGACAGGATTACAGGTCCCGGTCTTTTTCTTCACACCCGTCCACCTCGGCGGATACGGGTTTTCGCCGCTGTTGATCTCCATCTTTATGGGACTTGGCGGGCTTTCGCAATCGCTCTGGCTCCTCATCGCATTTCCGTGGCTTCAAGCCAGGTTTGGCACGAAGTGGGTCATGAAATTGTGCGCTTTGACTTACCCTTTCTTTTTCGTATTCTATCCGATGTGCAACATGTTGTTGAGGTGGCATATGACGGCCGCTTTCTGGGCAATTGCGCCTGTTGCTTCAGTAGTGGGCAGCGGAGTCGCCATGTCTTTCACAGGCATTCAACTTGTTCTTAACGATGTGTCTCCCGGGCCAGAAGTCTTGGGAACATTGAATGCAGTTGCGCTCACGTTAGTGAGCGGCTTGAGAGCCTTTTCACCTGCGTTGTTCGCCAGTTTATTTGCTACCAGTGTACGGAGCGGGGTGTTGGGAGGCCATGTCATTTGGATCCTAATGGTTTGTCTAGCGGTAGGGTTCTCGTTCCTAAGCCAGTGGGTGCCGGAGCCGATCCAAGCGGAAAGCAAGTCAGGTCCCCGCATGGAGAATGGCAGGACCGAGGAGGGGAACGAACAGTAGAAGAACATGAAGGGCGGTCCCGATCTGCTACCGCGAAGGAAGAATTTGACGTTGCACAGAATTAGTGCTGGCATCTTGACGATAGACACAACGGCGCACCTAAGTTTCAGGGCGAATCTAGGCGTTCAAGAGGGACAACATGATATGGGAACTTGGATAGACAGCTAGACTTTTCAATGGCTACCAAGTGTTTTCCTGAACTCCCGAGTGCTGTAGAACCACAAAGACAAGTTGGCACCCTGAGCCATACAAAGATCACTTTGCTTTTGCTGAATAAGTCTTTCGAGAAGATGGCCAGCGGAGCGATGCACAGCCTCGTGCGGAGCTTTCCCCAGCCTCGTTCGAACAAACTTTAAATTACCCCGCGAGCCTTAAAAAGGGTTAGCGCATACACAGCCCACGCGACGCGTCCCAGTCAGGGCGAGTCTCACCTCTTCGATCTGCTTTGTCCTTTCTTCCACCACTCATCCATCGACCTCCATCATTCCCAATCGACCAGGATCGGGCGATAAACCATGGCTTCCCGAACCGTCTTTGGGTTTGTGACTGCATCCATGAACTTCACGAGAGCAGCCAGCCTTTCTCGCTCGTTGCCGAAGCGCCCAAGATCTTCGTGTCTGAGCTTCGTCGCGTGCGTTCCGAGCACCGCTGAGACTTGAGAGCTGCGTTCCAGCAAACCGAAGTCCCATACCGTCGTTCCTCCGTGAAGGAACGCGTCGACTCTCGGACTCTCTCGGGTATTCTCCAGAGTCATGTTGTCAAGTCTGGCGCGGGCCAGCTCCCAAGTATTCAAATTGCCTGAGTTTGATGTCGTCGCCTGAGCTGTGGCTTTCCGCGATCGCGAGGTTCTTGACGAGGTCAATGGTAACAGCAGCACAGAATGCATTTATCGGATTCATGTCAGGGGCGCGATCACAATCGAGCGAAGACCAGGCGACACAACTTGGAGAACAAGCTACTTATACCTTCCTGGTAGCTGGCAGGCTGGGTCGCTTACGTGCCAAATTGCAGCTACCGTCTCTTTTTCAAGGCCATGTTTCCTGTCCCACAATGTTCTGGTTACGGGAAGGTTTCGTATGTCTTTGCGAAAGCGATTTCTGAGAGTCACCGTTCATACCGTCACCCCACTGAACGTGGGCAAAAGCCTGATTACCAGGCGAAGGCTGGCAAATCACTCTTTTAGCCTTGGTTTGCATGGTCCCTGAACTTGTGAAGATGGCAGTGCCGTACTTTCGAAGCAGGCTCAGCACCAGTCAGGCGGCAGGTCGACATGTCGATTATACCGAAGGACGATGCATGTCGGCGAATATGGTACGAAGTTTACGAGGCTCATCCCACGGACTCTGTCCCACCATCAGCAGCAACCCCATCGCAATTGATCTTGAATGCCAGACCACGCAGGCCCAATCCACAAGATTTGATCGTGCATGCAGCAATCTTGCAGTCATCATGTCATGCCTCTTGACGGACTTGCCATGTGGAGTATTTCGTCGGCGAAGATCAGATCGGGCCGTGCAGTTCTCATGCTGACAAGCGCGGGTATCGATCGATCGACGTCAGTTTCCCATGTGACATCTCCGACGGATGGGCGCAATGGGGGCTGCATTCAGGGATCATGGCATTCAGCCCCGGATTCCCAAATGCACTAGTCCGGGCGCTACAAGTCGGGCGCCTCTTAAACCCGACTTATTCCGGTCTGGCCAATTTGGATCGCGGGGTCTGAGCTTGTGAGCCTATTAGATTTCATGATTAGAGGTTGATACAAAGTACCTTGCACTGAAAGCGGATTCAGCAAATAACGGGCGACGGAGCCACCACAGACAGGGTCGGGGCCAGTGAGGGCTCGATGAGCACATTAACCGAAGTCCCAGGAGGAGACAGGAGCACGAGAACAGTAACCACAACGGGCACAAAAGGTGACCCCCACGCCAGGGGCCGGTGTAAGGCTCAGCCAACACTTCCATGGGGAAAATGACATAACGACCCTCGTACCTGTCCGCGCACCCACCACGGTCGCAGATTAAAGACTCATCGAACAAATGGCGCTCCTCATGGCCCTGTGCTTTAGTGGCAAATCGGATCCCGCTTCCCAAAGGTCAAAAGCCTGCATCGTCAAGCGTTGATCATCTGGCGCCGCTCAGCGCATATCAGCAAGCATAGCGCTCGTAAGAAACCCTCCGCCTGGACATCCCACCCGCGCGCAAGTTGTCATGAGAACACACGAGAGTCACTGCTTCCCTCCTTGGACTTGGCATGATCATCATTGAGGCACAGGAGGTTGAATTGGAGGCGCAGGCGTTCCTCATTTCGTGCACCACATCTGTCGTGCCTGCAAGAAATACTTTCGGAAAAAAGAAGGTCCGTTACCGCTGCTATCACTAATCAGGGCAGGCGCCGGAGTCATCCTCCGGGATGTGGGGCTTCCATTCTTGCCCCAGACCTGCATTTCCCCGCATTGTCAAACGTTGATAAAGCCACGTCAACGATTTGAGTCCTCCTCTCTGAAGCCTTGCCGACCCAAGCCTCACCTTGAAGGCGGTCAGCAGCATTCGGGAGATTCAACTGCGGCGTGAAAGATCGCTGTGAGCTCCGTCGGCTGACCAGCGGTTTGATTGTTCGCGCCACCCCTCCCGATAACATTCTGTCTTTTACCATGAGGCCCTGATCGTTGAAATCAGTGGACGTTCAGTCAGTACAGGAAGCAGTCAGTGCCTCTGGTCAGACCTGGCCGCGATTAGCTCTCTCCGAGCAGGTGTTGCATATCCTGGATCTCATACCTTCCTGGTATGTCCTGGCGTCGTGCAAAAGCTCTGGGTCTGTCAGACGATCCATCTCCTCTTCAAGCTTTTGCACTGCCAATGCGCTTGATCTGTCTGTGTGTTTAGCGCTTTTCGGGCTCTCGCAGTTTTTCTTCCGGCGTGTATGGCTTCTCAGCACTCTGCCCTGCGCTTGCAGCAAACGGTCGGCAGCATTGTCGGTCGAATGAAGATGAGCTGCGAGGGTGGCCTGGTCGAAAGGCTCTCGAGGCGCCATGAGCGCTAATCTCTATGTATGGCGCACAAAGACCTCGGGTATCGCTGGGCAAGGCTGACCAACGGTGATACGAACCTACGACTGCGAGCGCCGACCCGCAAGTGACAAGCTTTTCTCAACAGTCAGCAGCTTCTTGCCGTGCCTCCGGAACCATGGGCTTACATTACGGGCAGTGTTGACGACTTATGGAGAGCGACTTCCTGTCGCTGCTATCAACTCGGCAGGTCGTTGTAACGGTTGACCCGGTTGATAATGCTGCTTGTTATCTTCAAGCGAAAGAGTAAAGTATCCGGGGTGACTGAACTGCGCCAGACAATTGTTTGCGGAAGATGCGAGAGAAATTTGTATCCATACCACGGGCTCAACCTCTTCCTTTACCTTGGTCATCGGTGGTCACTTGACGAGGCACCTGACACCACCAACTTTACGTCGCCCCAAGGAGTCGTGCAAATGGACCCAATCGCCGAGGCACGCCTTCATGATGACGAGATTGTCACTGGGTTCACTTGCGATATCATTGAAACCGGGTGCATTATGTTGCAGGTTGAACGTGGTCTTGGATCAACACGATGGAAATGATTACTTCTTCGGTCCCATTTTGAGATCACCTGACGAGGCTAAGACCGCTTGGGAATCTGTTACCTAAAGGCCGCTGGGTGTCTGTCCAATGCCCACAAGGCTGGAATGAAGTCGAGGAAAGGCGCCAGGTACCCGAGGATAACCGCAGTACGTCGAACTGATAAGGATTCTCCTTGCCATTGGATGACTGCCTTCGACACGGAGATGCTCCTGGTTTCATTCAGATATCGGTCCGCCTGCTCACGAGGATGGACACATGTGTCGATCCGGGGTACATGATGCTAGCCAAAGGGACCAACGTTGTCTTATCTCTAGTTACTGTTGGTGTACAGCCCTGCCGGCTGCAGTCTGGGGTATCAATCTCGCCAAGATCGACATCTTTGCGGCTTTGCGACGTATCGTTGTCGCGAGGCCGTGCCACGTCAGGCCCGACTTTCAATCATCGAAAGGGTCCGATGCCGGTTGTCGCCTACACTACGGTGTTGACCGATACATTCGACATTGATGACAGCGTATGAGCAGATAAGCAGCAAGCCTCTCCCGACCACGGGACACGCAGTGCGCCCGAGTCTCAAACCGCGCCTGAGCATTTGATTATCACGAGTCCTTATCCTCGAACGCGTGCAATGAGGCGCATGCGGCGTCACATTCTGCGCGTCGTGGAGTGTGCTATTGTGGAAGGCGTTGACGCGTCGCGTGTCAGCTTGGCATTCTGCGCGTGTTCACGATCTGGCAGGGTCGTGAGCAGTCTGTACTGAGTACTTTGTACAGTTCGAATTCAGGCCACTTCTGGGCTGCGACTTCCAGGAAGGGACCGGCTGGAACTTGCTTGCGGCGGTTTGCGTGGTGGGGCAGATGGTGCGCCAAAAGAATTGTGCTTTTAGCGCCATTTGCCGCAGCAGCTTACCAGAGCCTTAAGAGTGGAGGAGCATGACGTGGTACTCGTACTCAGCCCACACAAATCATGGGACGGGCACGGGCGTGTTTCAACCCTTTCAATGCAGCGGTGCTGAACTGAAGAAAGCCGCATTGGTGATCGGAGAGCTTAATCAAGCGACATCAAGAGCAAGACTCCGAACGACGTCCCAAAATATCGAATTGAGCTCCAGATGTCCAACAGCAGCAGCAATTTCGGAGTTACGCAGTACAGGACAAGCTCGGCAATGTTTCCTATCATACAGCGGTTCAGCCTCGTTGAGTCCGAGCAAGACAATCAACCAGGCAGCTGGCTGTCTGAGTACAGCTTGTTGCATACTGTTCCGGCTTTGGAGATGTTGAATCCCAGCGACCGTCATTATGAGAGACCCTACTTGAACGAACCACATCCCAATCTCCGCCAGAGCCTCGACCTTTTCTCAACCGAAGCACCTGAGGTCGTCGGATTGATATAAGACATCTCAAGAATACGAGTGAGTTCCCTCCTTGAGTCCTGACTCATGAGTCACATCAGCTTGATTCACTTCAGATCGGTCGTGACAGTGTTCCTCTGACCTTTTTGGTCTTCTCTCGCAGCCCGAAGAAGCTCCGAGTCCGTGAGTTTGTCCATTTCCTTCATGAGGCTGCGTATATCCTTTTTGTCTTTCTTCTTGTCGTCCTTTCCTCCTGGCGCGGCCTTGGGATGTTCTGCTGCGTTGTTGCCGCTTCGGAGGGCACGTCCACTGCCATGGTCGAGACGGTCGATGAGGTTGAGGGGGTAGTATAGGTAAGAATCAAGCACGCCTTTGCAGACATCCTTGTTGGAGGCCATGGCGTCACGGTGTCGACGGACTGACGCGGTGAAGGGCAAGGCTGTGGTTCACAGAGGAAGTCCTACAGGAGAAGGTCGTTGGCTGTCAAGGTATGACGAGGCTGACCGTCCAGGTATGCTCACAAGGTAAGAGGCTCAAGGACCAAGAGAGGTGGATGGAACTGTGCGTCAGGAAGATGAAGGACCAAAAGAGATTCGAGGTTTATCAAGAGGGAATTCGCTGTTCTTAAGCTTGTGCGTTCAACGTGAGAGGAAGCAGAGGGATCCCATTGCCATTCGAGGGCGTCCCCGATGAACCTCCAGTGTGGCCCAACAAATGATGGTCTACAGCACATTTGGTCTCCCTTTTACACCGGTGAAGTCTTGCAGTAATGCTGCATGATACGTGAATCCTCAGTCCATGTCGCGAATGAGCATCCACAACTACGAGGATACGTTTTTCCCATCCACTCGAATCGCGTGCGACTTTGCTAAATATCGGAATGTTTAGCTGTGGAAGAGATGGAATCCGGGCGACATCTGCGGATCAGGATGCAGCTCACACGTTGTGAATGAAAGATCAGTGGGGAGGATGAAGGGTGGTGTGAACCTGACAGACTCGCGCTCGCTTCGCTCGCACATGGGCGTCAGATAAAACTACGTCATCCATCCTCTCCTGTCTGACCGATGTCAGACAGACGCTTCATACCGACTTGATCCGTGGAAACTCGTAGATGGGATACATGTACTACGGTTAGGTATGTAGTTGTAGGCGAACACAAGATGTGGTTGGCACCTACCTATTAAGGTACCCAGGTGGGCCCCTGGTTCACCGCCCTTAATTTCTAAACACGTCTTTACATGTCTGTCATAGGGAAAACGGAAATGTGCCCAAAGAAGTTCAGCATCAAGTCCAAATTCCAGTTTGGTCCCAGTTTGATGCCAGTTTGATGCCAGTTTGATGCCAGTTTGATGCCAGTTTGATGCCAGTTTGATGCCACTCTGGTGCCAGTAGGCAATTTTTGGTGCGCGTGCGACCAATGCAATCGTAGGTATCCACAAGAAATCTCGGTGTGCGTCCCTATCAACTGATCACCGCCTCCCCGCTGGGTGCTCGTACTCGTACCCGTGGTTGCCTTTGGAAGTGGCAAAAAGGGGACAACTCAGCGACACGTTATCCAGTGGTTTATGCAGCTTTGTGGGTCATAAGCCTGGGCCAGAGCCAGGCCAGCGTTTCGGGCCCATTTCACAACTGGATAGCTTCGACATCATGCATGTATGGCGCGCCACGCCTTGCTTTTCGGTAGCCTCGTGACGCGACGTCTGGCCGATGTTAGTGACATGCCAATTTCTCGCCGCGCCCGGAGAGGGAGAGGGAGCCGGAGAGCGCGCTCCTAGAATGGCCAAATCCCCCCCATTCTGGAAATAGCTGGAAAGTCGATCGGTAGTCCCATAGAGGAGAGGTGGATCTACTGACGGAGTGGTTCGCTTACGCAAATGACTCCGCGACGTCGTTAAAGCTCTCCGGTCCTCGTGCGTCAGCACGGGTTCGTTCTCGCGAAAATTCTCCTTCCAGATCATGTGTTCGAAGGATGTTCGTGATGGGAATGTAGGTGCAGAATATCGTGGACCAAACACAGGCCTACGCACTGGTCACATGGTGGCTGGAACAAAGATGAAGGCTTGTCGGTGCAGGTCTGGACACAACCCGGAGCGCACAAGAATTACCTACAGGCTCAGCCTGTAAGTCGCGTTATTCCATTACACTGTCAGATCCAGGAGGGGGATCTTTCGCGGTTCGCGCCCTTCGGTCCGTTCAATGGCAGTTCCGGAATTCGCCAGGGCCGGGAGGAGGAGGGGTTTCTATAAGGCACTCCATCATAATTGGCTTCTTCATCGAGGGGGCACGAGAGACAAAGGCCCTGAATCGTGCTCCCCTCCCCCTCGCTCTACACGAGGTACTTTACCGGAGAAAAGTAACCCCGCATTCTATTTTTGTTCGGTGAGGGAGTGTGCCCCTCACTCTCTAATCGGTAGGTCTACCGACTTGGTTTAACCAAATTAAGTTACCTCTTATACTCGTTTATGTTTGCCTTTCTGACTGCTAGATGTCGCGTCACGACAAACTTTTCTGGCTTTGAATCAACTTCATCCTAACTCATCGCTCTTGACCGCGTGGACACCTTATCCTATCGATCTTTGGATACTACGAATGCTGAGGTGGGCTACAGTTGGCTTGCGACGACATCGTCTGAGCTGCGTATCCCTTTCCCCCTAGCTCGCGCGCCCGAGCACACTCTACTCGTGGTTCCCGCTCTCGGAGCAATGACAAGCGCTCCTTTCCACACCTACTTCCTTCAGACAATCTAGGCATATGAGCGGGTCCCGTCGTCGAGTCCTGTCCCTGATGAGCAGTGTCCACAGTAAGGCGAAGTGACCTACACACCTCGTTGATATGCTTGGGCGTCGTTGAGGAGCACCAGGTCCGTGATCTTGTCCATCTCCTTCTCGAGCCTAGTCACGGCTATATCATTGCCCTTGTCTAGAGTCCTTCGCGGTGGCGCCACTGGACGGCTCATCGAAGTTTTGTACTTGTCACTTCGAAGGACGCGTCCGTTACCGTCGAGGAGCCGGTCAGCGACACTCCTAGTGGCGTATAGGTAGGTGGAGAGCATGTCGTCCGCTGCGTGGCTACGAGAGCTCATCTTGGGCAACGTCAAGGGAAGGCTTCGGAGTCGAAGTCAATGGTTCAGCAAGGGGGGACGAGGTTCCAGGGGTCCGAAATATAGGACTGCTATTTGCAACGGTCAGGTTGGACACTAGGCTGCTCTCTGGGTATGCTTGGTGTTGGACTCATGAGACGTGAGAAGGAAGACTTACGAGGCGTCAATGTTGCAAAGACACACGGGGTTCTGCACGGGAGACAAGGGGTGTCAATGCAGGGAATCAAGAAGAATCAGGGCGATGTCCGTCGAGAACAGCCTAGCGGGCAAGTGAAGGCGCCACACAGAAAGACACACGAAGAAGGAACATGTGAGTAGAAGAGAGACGAAGAGGACGCAAACTCTGGGATCAGCCATGGGATAATATACCAGGTTGCGCACCTCGTCTTCGTCCTGGTTCCGTCCGTGCAAAAGTCGGTGCCACGTATGCGAACTGAACGTCTGGGATGATGTTCACGCGTGGCTTCGAAACGTCCAATCGATCCATTGAAACGCAAGCAGAAGTGGTAAAAAGGCAGCCGTAGAGCAGAGACTTGCATTACAAAAGTAGGTTACAGAGAAAACATTCCGTGTAGACGGATGCATGGCACGACAGTAGCGCGGGCCCAGCCAATCACTTGCCGAGCGCAACGCCATCCGGGTGGATTAGCGTACGAGCTAATGCGCACAATCCTCTCCTAATAAAGTATAGCTGATTGTCCGTGGCAAAAGATAGCGGCCACCTGATTAGTCGCCGCATTTGAGGCGGCAGGGGAGCGGATGCGGAGCGAGCACGGGGACGATCCTGAAACAAACTCCGCGAGGCTGATGAAACGTCGCTGTCGGATTGGTCAGATCATGCTCGCTCTGCGACACAGAGGCGGCACATCTCGTATCCAGTACTGAGTATTATCTCGGATTCCTGGCCTGTGTGAGCGTGGCTTCATCCGAAGCGCTAGTTAACCAGCGTATCCAGAAGATGCCGGGTCGCCGACGAGCGACCGCAGTCAAACCCATCCAATCGCTGACTTATGAGGAGGCTGACTTGCAAGTTGAAGGAATGTCGCCGTCTCAAGGCTATCCGCTGTCGAGCCACCCACGCAGAGGCTTCGGCCTCGGTAGCACAAATCTATTCAGTACTTCATCAAATCCTCCGTCCTTCTCAGACTGCAGCATCGCGACTAAATACCCACTCCATCAAAGCCTTGAACGTCAGCCTCGTCCCCACACAATAAGATGTATGCCCAGCCCACATAATTACGGAGTACAGGGTACAGGCTACTCAAGTCTAGTCTACGCTAGTCCGTCACGGGACCGAACGACTCTGTCGACGACTCCATCTTCACACACTCTACCCAGTATGCATACATACATAACTGGGCGAATTAGCTCTTGTCAATGCTTGGACTACTACTAATGGACAGGAGGCCCTGCACTGTGACGAGACAGGTACTGACCCGTACTGTACTTCACCCCCGTCCAACGATATCCCGTTGGTATACAGTCGTGACGGCGGCAGCCACGATCGTCGGGTCTGTGATCTTGTCCATCTCCCTTTCCAGCATCCTTACGCCCGCGTTGATCATCTTGTCCTTGTCCTCGGCATTGGTCGTGGCAGCGAAGTGGGAAGCGACGTTGTGTCTTCTGAGGTTGTGGCTTGGCGCCATGATGAGACGATCCGTAAGGGTGTCGGTCGAATAGAGGTACGTGTTGAGCATGTTATCCGAAGACGACATGTTGGTCACGCTGATGTTAACGACCGCAGGAAACGGAGAGAAAGTTGGCGGTGCCTGGGAAGGCCGTGGATACGCCACGCCCCGTGTGTAATGACTGCTTCTAGGAGTCGTCTTGAGCGACCTTCGGTCTTGTGGAGAGGCAGCAACCCTTGGTTGGGTTGGAGTCTGGGAGGGGGCACGACAGTGACGGTGGCAGTGACAGTGAACTCCTTGTAGGTTGAGGTTAGGGTACGGAGAGAACAACGGATGCTGAGGCGGCGATTGACTGACTGGAGAAAAGAACAACCGGTGCGTAAGGCTACCGATCCGGTGGACGACGTGGAAAGGTGTTGTGGAGAAGCCAGTAACGTGTCAAGTGGGCGCAGATGCTAGGAAATCGAGTCCTGCATGCTATGGTGCGAAGAGAATAGAAAGCAGAGAGACGAGCAAGGCCGGCGGTCTCGAGCAGCGATACCTTTATATACCATACTGGCACCGGGAACCCTGGGCCTCGTATTGCCTCAGCGGGCGGCAGACGCAAACGACTGCGCCCTGAAGTCAACATTGCCATGGGGGTACTGTCTCCAGCTCGATGAGTGCGAATTGCTGTCTGGAGGTATACGCAGCGAATGCAGCGAGGAACGGACATATGCCCCAATCAGGCTAATGCCAGATCAACTCCCGCTCGGTACGGATACCCAGTACCTCGCGCATCCAAGACTCAGCCTTTGGGACGGGAAAAGCGGGGCCTGCCCATTGGTGGATCGGATATGCTTCCGGCTCTTAGCCCGACCCTACTCGAGTGTCAAAGGCACCGCCCAGCATGGACAAAACCCCACACGTCAACATGATCGAGCGTTTTCAACGAGAATTGCGTTCTAACCCAGTGCACAAACGAGCCCTTGCAGGAAGACCTGGCTTGCTGACAGCCCACATTTGGGTCCGTCTACCTAACCACATCATTCGCTATTGGGGGGTGGCCCGACGCCACTTGCGCATGATATGCAGACTTGCGGTGCAGCGGTGGTCTGAGAACGGGAAGATGCTTTAATTCTCCATCATCACCATTTCAGGGCGTTGGGTTGGGCGTAAGATCTCGCAGTGGCGGAACTCGTACCGTCGCTGCGGCTTCATCAAACCCCGTCACGTCTGCTACAGGGTACGTTCATGCCCCGCCACGCGCCCACCGAGACAGAGGATGTTCTGCTTTGTGCTAACCGGTTTAACCCAGATGTGGGCACAAAGATGTGGTGAGTCTGGGGTGCTCTGAGCTGAAGACTGGTTTCTGGACCGTTACATACTTCGCGGTTAATGAGTCTCAGACTCATTCCGTGGACACTTTGGCGAAGTCTGCCGCCGTAGCACGTTTTTGTGGTAGAGCAGGTCGTAGCCTGCCGTGCTTTAAGGTCTCGATGTCCGTGACGATTGAGTCACGGACAAGGGGCTGCTCACGACCATAACGGCGTGTCGTTGGGAAACGCCATCTTGGACCGCGAGACCTTGGCCGGGCGTTTGTCGTGGAGACGGAAAAAAGAGGCTGCCTTCATCCCACGGAGCGAGGGAAGCGCATTGCATACACGAGCGACCTTATTAAGGCACGAGGTGCGGATAGACATATCAAGGGAGGGGGCCTTGCGCATGTTCAGACACGCACAGTGGGAGACCGCCATGGTGCGTGGGACTTGTTTGGGGTGATGCAGGAAACGTGGGTTTGCGTGGATGGTGTGGGATGGAATGTGCAGGTCTCATTTCGGGGGGCTTGTCGTAGTGCACGGAAGGTCTTCGGTATGCGTGCTGAGTCGAGGACAAGGTATGGACCATTAGTCAGTCAAAGGCAGGTAGTCCGTACTGTACTGTGTCTCGTAAGGCCAGATAGAAGCATCCATTGAGGAATTTTTGGGGGGACATTTGGCGTTTTTCCCCAGTTTAATGCTTGTGCCTTGCCTGTTGTGCTCCTCCGTAGGGCTTCGGTGATGTAAAGCGCGTGAAGCGCTACATTCCTTCGCAGTCCGGGCAGGCCCCTGTCCCTGTGTTTCCCCGTCTCGACCCTCGTGGGCTACCACCAATGAAATAGGTCTGTCTTGAAACTGGTAGACTCGAGGCCCGGAGCCGTTGCGAAATAGGTTCTTCCTCAGATTCGAAGCGATGCCGTGTGCACGCCGAAGACCGGCACTGCCTTAATGGTAGATCAAAATGCGGATGTCGGAGCACAATAAAAACACGTCAAGCACCAGGCTGCCAGCACGGAGGACAGCGTGGGTAGACATTGAGCGACATGCGGAATGAACTCCAGGTGGCGCCATGCAAGAGAGTTGCAGAGATCGGAGACTCAGGTGCGTGTATCGATGGACAAAGGGGAAAGCTGAAGTCAAGGGCATAAATCGAAATGGTGGAGATCACATAATCAAACCGCCAAAGCTTCCGTTTTCGGCACGCCAGTCCAACTATTTCATCACAGCATCAGTGATCAAGGCGACAGCCTCCTTTCATCATGCATGCCACGAACCCCAGAGCGTATCGGCGAACGAAATCACTCCGTCAAGGAAGTCTTGAGATCCCGCAGTCCATCCACTGGCCGCGACAGAAACTGCATTCAACCCACGAGCCCAGCTCGTGCTCGGTGTGGCGGCCCAGCCCTTCTATCACTGGACGACCAAGTCGGTGTAGGAGCGTATTCCTTGCTTGAGTTCTGTGCTCCATCAGTGTCTCTGGTCGAGGCCAGGGTGATTGAACGCGTTCACCTTCTTGATCTGCTCTGGCAGAATGCAGAAGCTCCGGATCTGTCATCATGTCCATCTCCTTATCTAGCTCGCCCACCGCAGCCGTATCCTTTCGGTCTTTCTCCTGAATGGTCACATTTGCAGAACGACCTTCCGGGTTATTGTCCCTACGGACGTGTCGCTTGCCGTGAAGGAACCGGATGGCGATACTGTCCGTTGGACCCAGCTCCCTCTCTAGCATGAGCTTGGACGAGGACTTCTGGTGCCCCATGTTGTCGAAGAGGAGGGAGTGAGGGTACTGCGACTGAAGGCGAGACGCAAGGCTGGATACTCCCAGCCGTGCGATCAGGTGATCCGAGGGCGAGAGACCTGCAAGAGAACTTCAGCCATTAGGAGGTGACTAACGTATCGAACAAGAAACGTGAGGGCACGACTCACCGATGCCTAGCAAATCTGCGTTCTGCGAATTGGTGAGAGGGAAGGTGAAGGCTTCATGTAGTACGAGTACACCAAGGGGCAGCACAGCGGAAGCTTCTCACGAAATGCCCCTCCGGCGTCTCGCTACAAATGGGAAGGATGTGTGAAATGTCTTCAGTACTCTAGTCACCTGCGGAAGGAAAGAAAGAGATGACCACACTCAAAAAGTCAGTCACCGGGGTCTTATATCCTCCTTGTATTTGTTGCCTTGTTTCTCTCACGAGAGCATGAATGCCTTCCTGATTAGGTCTGAAATCATTAGACCGTACGGTCCGCCAAGGGATGTACGTCCATGCGCGAGGATCAGCAGTTGGGCGAGGGCTCGGTCACTTGAGGTATAGTGGCGGCTTCGCCAACCACACTCCGTCTTTCCAGCAGGGAGGACATGATGTCGGAAATCATCATCCAAGCACCAAGACGGGGAACGCCCTGGGTAACGTGGTAAACATGATATTTGGAATGTTGAGCTGTACCCTACTAGGCCACACGGTCCCTGCGAAAGTATAATGGGGCATCAGCACTTTTGCCAGGACGCACGAGATTTTGTATTGGTAGGATACTGCTTGAGTCTGATCCGTACCTATGTTGCTGCCGAAATGGGACTAGTGGAGCATAAAATGCCAAGCCCGTCATGTGGCGTTGACGGCCACTAGCGTTATTCGGAAGCTCTTGGCGCGTGACACTAAGCCCAATCTGTCGCCGTGCTCGCCACGCAAAGCGCTTGCCCAAAGCCCCGATACCTCCGTCGCACTCGTACTCTTAAAGCGCACCAGCAAAACTGGATTCCTTCGGCCTGCTATTCAGTACAATCCTCTTCCGATCTGGAGGCGATCTGGAGGGCAACACACTGATGCTACGCTTACTGCCTTTGATAAGCCCATCTCTACCGCCGCTCGCTTTCCGAGCCGACCGAGCTGATACCATAAGAAAACACATCGCTGCGCCTTAATACCAGGCTACGAATCCCCAGTCCTGTATGACATACACAACAAGAACTTTAGCAGCATCATATCGTCCCTCCCACGCGACGGAATTGGGTAGAGTATTGCGGCCGACACTGTCTCCTAATACAGCGTTGCGTAGAGATGCACGATGACCGCACACCTCAGCCCTTCTCTCGCGCCGTTGGCCGCCTTCAATCTTCGGCTATGCAGACAAACAACGGCGGAAACCCCTGGGTAAAATCCAGGGTCGACGCAGAGGCTGCGGGGGGATTATGCAATAGGCATCGTCTGGGGTTGCGCAGGATGTGAAACAGCCTGAGTAGCCCCACCAGCTCTCCCAGCCCGACAAGTTCTTTCAGCCTTGCTTAGTACAGCTGCAGGGTCGCGACCTAGAGTTTCGAGTTCAGCTTGCTTCGACAAATGCATCTCAAGGGCCAGTTCAGCTGGGACCACCACCGACGTCACCCCGCCAAGGCAGTTTGCCAGTTGCAAGAATCTTCTCGGGGTATACTCGCTCCTCGTCTAGCCTCGCCCCCTGCCTGACTGATTCTTCTGTGGCAGACGCACGACACCACCCTGTACAGGCTCGTCTTGTCTGCTTCCTTCTTGTAGTCATCGTGCACGTACAGTAAGATTGCGCGGCTTGCGCGGCTTGAGGGCCTACCGCACTTGGTGTTTCGAGCTCGTGCCCTGCTCACAACGCCCGACTTCAGCACGACTGTGCTGTACACACGCGAACAGATGTGACAATGTCTAATCCACCGACTGCATGATCTCTAGGGCAGTAATCCATGTGGCCTTACTGAGGACGGCCGCACCCACGATGCGGGACAGCATGTGCGAGCTGGCCGCTTCCTCGCGCCGCAAATCTTCTCGAAATTACACTAGTAGTAGTACGACCAGTCTCTTGTTCAGTGTTAGCCCTCGACCCCGGTCCGTCACGTCGCGCTGGACTGAGCTGAGTTTGCTCCTTGTCCGATGAACCCGGAGCCTACACGGAGCCCCAAAACGGAGTCTCTGTGAGCCACGACTACAGGACAGACGATGTACATTATCCGTGATGCTTTTTGCCAATATCTCGAATTGAAACCGGACGGATTACAGAACATTTTCATCCGTTCGTCTTCGTTTTGCTTTTACTGTATACTGTACTGTATACTGTCGAACCTGTAAGGCAAAGTCCGAGAATACTCGTCACTGCCGCTTGGGTACAGTATAGTACAGTTGCCAACGTTCCAGCGCCACACCTACGCTGAGCAGGTGCTTCTTGTCGGCGTGTGCTGACTGGATTGTCCCGGGCCGGCTATTGACGGCATGCTGTATGCTGTAGGATGTACAGTAGCCTTGCGAAGGAAAAGGTCGGGGATCCTCGCAGAGTGGATTTCAGTAACGTCCGATACAGAGCTATGAGTCTCTGCCACTGCCACTGCTCATCACCTAGGTAGACAAACTCGGCCCTGTCAGTGCGTCGTGATGTGATGTGACCGTCGTTGTTGTTATTGTTGTTGACATATCTCCCACCCATTTACCATTTCTCTCTCAACCATGACAACTTGAAGCCCAGCGTAGGTAGGTAGATCTCTACATACCTTTAACTGCACTCACTACTTACCATGGATGTAGCTTCTCCTCAGAGGTTGTTCTAATTAGTGTGGTGCCATCGAGTTGCATGTGATCGTCGCCGTATCCTCGTACTCAACGTCGTGCTCGCTTGAGAGATTCGGGCTCACTAGTGTCGCCGTCGAGTTGCATGGGATCAATCGCCGGATCCTCGTACTGAACGTCGTGCTCGGACTGGAGACGCACGGAGTACTCCACGTACTAACGTATGCATCTAGTCCTGTGCCGGGTTGCGGATTCAGAGCTTCCAGATGATGGCAGACATGTTTGGACCCCACATGGGTATGTTACACAGTATATAGTGCATTCCACGATCCACAATCCACAACTCACAATCTACGATCCACAACTCATAATTTACGATCCACATTCCAGGCTCAGTGTCAGAACGTTGGCCGCCCTGCCACGAATCAGCGAGCTCAGTCTTCACTGGTTAATCACTCCTGGAATGGCCACAGAGCACCAGCACCGTTAGAAGAGGGGAATGGACGCAAAGGGGACGTTGGACGCGCAGTCCTGCACCCACTGACCGACAGCCCGCCCGCCAAGGTAAGAACGAAAAGAGAACACAGTGATGATTTCAACTTTTTTTCTGCATTTGGATTGGGCGTTTCTCGGGAAAAGCTCCCCCTTCGGAAGCTTCGATCTGTCCGCTGGTGTTCAGCCAGGATGCTTCTACTTCTTACGCGTGCCGCCATCCTGGTCATGATTTTGATGTGCCGCCCCTCCGCTATGGATGCACCAGACGTGAGCTGGTGCTTTCTTCTTCGTCGTGAATCACTTGAGCAGGTCGATCTGCAGCTGGGGGGACAGGCTGGTGGTCGCAATCGACGCGTCGTTCCTTCTCGCGTTGTACTGCGCGTCTACCGGTCCACACACAGCAGTATCTTCCTTCTGCTCGTGCTCGTGCTCATCCTCATCAAATCATTCCTGCTGGTTCATTCCACTGCCTGTAAAATACGCAATGGAGACAGACATGTTGTATCATTCAATCCTGTCCCTTCCGCCTCACCGACCGCGACTCCAGCGATGCGGAAGCCGAAAAATTGATGCAAATCTCGAATCAGTGATAGGAGATTCGTCAAAAAATGTATAATAAGAAAAAGTGGAGATCTCAATCTCCAAGCATGGATGGGTATCAATATCAAAGACACTTCCTGTCCAGACTCTCCAAGTCGAGCATGGACGAGCCCGAGGAAAATGTGGTGGTTCTCCTGTCGTGTATAAAAAGACCGTGATGTCCTGTTGTCGGTTTGTGCCGCTGCCACGAAGGCAGATCTCGCCCTCGACGTCCTAGCCAACAGAGGTGGGCGGTAGTGTGATCGCGCCCTGCGCCGTCGCTTATGCCGAAGCCGAAGCCGAAATCCAAGGAGTAAGCCTCCCTTTCTCCAAACGCCAAGTTTCATGCCCGAGGTAATATCAAATCACTTTTGTGGTATTCCAGACCAGGATGCAGAGGGTAAGTAAACATTAATCTTCTGCCAGAAAAGATTAGGATGGGAGTATGAATGTGGCTGTAATGAGCGTGAGAAATTAGTCGTCGCTTGATAAAGGACGATTAGCGTCGAGCGATGTTGGCTTGGTGGTGAAAAGAGTGTTATCGTCCTTGAGATTGGACCGGTGTGCTTCTGTCCTCGGCAGGAGACGCGAATCATCGAGACCGCGGCCCTGCACCTCAAGAGGTGAAGCTGGCACCGTCCTATATCAGGAGGAAATCCCATCCGTTCTGCTGCATCACGTCCCGCCAGTGGACGTTCTGGTTCCTTGGCATTGTCGTTGTCGTCGAAGAGGAGGCGGCTGTGGAAGTTCCGGCTGTGGCGAGGATACTGGCTGAGGCGATCGGTGTTGAGATGGATCCTGATGGGCTTCCGGCTGTCACTGGTGTGGCTTCGCATACTCCCGCAGAGATGACCATATCGTCGTTCCGTCTCCACACCTCATGAAGCAAGCGTATCATTCTTCCAAAAGACCCATGGTCGGCAGAATCACCGAGCGCATCACACCGCTCCGAGAGGACCCGGCGAAGTGGAGATGCTGGAATCGAATTCGCACCGCAGATGAGCATGGGCCACACAAGGCAGCGGTCGAAGCCGTTCGGACCGGAGGGGACGTACTGGAGCATCTCAGCCATTTGAGCGATCAGGTTGACTGTGGCCGGTTGGTAGCGGTTGTACTCGGGCACGAGAGAACAGAGGTAGACACGAGTGGCTTTGCGGAAGATGGCGCTGAT